TCTGTACCCTGCGTTGCCCAGGGTGCACTACAAGGAAGCGATCTACCATTGCACCCCTATTTTCGAATATTATATTACCATAAACGTAGAGCAACAGTGCAAGACCGATGTCTATTATTATTTTTATTATAATAAAACGAGTAATAAAATAATATTATTTTTTTTTTTAACTGTGGATGTGTGTTTATTGTGTGATAGTGTAGATTGAATATATTACTCAATTACATATTAAATTAAAAATGAAAAATACAGTCGAATTCCTTTACTTCTTTTTTTCAAAAAAAGTTAAAAAAACTGATCAAGAAAACAGCTTGTTAAAATGTGATTAAGATCAAGACCAACCTAGCAATGAACTTGTGGTAATAAAGTTGTACTATTTTTTGATATAATCGAAATATTCATACATTTATGTATTTATTATTTCTGTGTAATTATTATGGCATACCCATGTTCATAAATTTAAAAATCAATAACACAAGGATTTTTTCTCAAGAAAAACATAAAGAATTAGATAAATCTACACCAATGATTTCTGTGGAAAAATATGTGAGTACAAAGTTAAGAAGAGTTAATGATTAAAAATTAACATTTTTAATTCTTAAGTTTATTTATATATTTTAATTTTAATATTACTTCTATTTGGTTGTATGCAAATATGCAGTAATATTTTATTATTTATTAGCACATATAATATGTTTGAAATATGCTACATAATATCGCATTATGGCTTAATATACTAAAACAAATGCTTTCTTCTTACTTTTTAAGATTGAATGCTTAAGTAGCAATGCACAGTAATATCAAAATGATATAGGTTTATTTGTTTCTAAACATGTTTAAGCTAATGAAGATAAATATCTTGTAAATAACCTATACTATGATACTTTTTAGGTATATACAGGCCCGTATTTAAGAATTTGGCGCTCCCGGGCATATAATTTATGACCCCCCCCCCCCAAAAAAAACAAAATAAATAATAAGTATATTACACTTATTATTTCGTCCATAATCGAAATTCTAATATAAAAATAAAAAATAAAACAATAAAACGTACTATTTTTTTTTTTGATTAGGTAAATTATTTTTAAAATTAATTTTGCTGAAATATTTTGTCACCCCTGAGACTTGACGCTTCGGGGCATGTACCTAACCCGTCTCCCCCCCACCTAAATACAGACTGGTCATAATCAGTCATCATTATACCATTTGCCTTATTTAATTTATAATAATAAATTAATATAATATTGAGATATATGAGATTTAATGATTAAGGAGGGTGTGGGAGGACATAGCCCCACTAGAACGATAGTATAAGCTTATATACCAATCTCATCTCAGAACCAATTCCAAATTACGCCACTGGTCTTCTTAATATATTTTAATAATACCATCAATCATTGATTAATATATATACTTAATCAATGATTGTACTAATATAATGAGCTATAACAATGGACTATAGCAATCTGATTCTATAAGTAATTGCCCATGGAATTGATAAAAATAATTATTGTTACGACTTTGGTGTAACTGCCCATTTTTCATTAGACAAATTTTAATTTTACTAATAATTATTATCATTAGCGAATTTTCTAGTAGCCTGCATTACTTTGTAGCCGCCGAAAAAAACGAAAATAATTTTGCACTGTCATACAATTAGAAAAATATTCCTACGTATTTAACTTAAATAATTTGAACCACATTTAAAAATCAGCTTATGTACATAGTATTATGCATGTTCCACTCCTCTAGGTGAAATTTTTGGTGGCACCTATGCTTATAGTATTGCCTCTTTTGGCTAAGTTCTTTGACGTTAGTGCATTTTATTTCTACCAAAGAATCATCACCTATAATACCATCTTTGAAAGCTGCTAAAAATGGTATTTTTATGTCAACAATTAAATCAGAAAGAACAATTTTTAATTTTTTTATTTTATTTTCTAGTTCTTCTTTTGCTATAACTTAATTTGCCATTCCATATCTTGTAGCAACATTCACAATAAATCTTCCAAATAAAATATCTTTTAAAACATTTTTATTCGAGATGTTTTTTCCCTTGATTTAGATATTTTTCGAAATATCGATGTTTAAAGCATGTGAACAAGAATAAAATTAAATAATAATTATATTATTACTTATTTAATGCATTTGAAAATACTAACCATTTTCTTTTCTTAATGGACCATTCTTTACATTAATTTTACCTCTTTGTCCTAAATTCTAATGATTTAATTTGGTACTCAGAAATTGATAATTTTTCTATATATATACGTTTGTCGTTTTCATTTTTAGTAAATTCTAAGTATAGGTCATGTGACACATTTCTATAATTTTCATCTGGTCCTTGATTTTTCTGGGATACTACAGACAGTTCAAATATTTTAAAAAGACAACGACATTGATTTTTTTTTATTAATTGTACATCATTTTCTTTTTATTAAATTTCTAGTTAATTATCCCAGAATTTTTTCGGTCACATCTTTATTGAATACAAATAAACTATTTACTACTACTTTGTACGAAGTAATGAATGTATTATACTGAATTCCATAAAAACCTAAAGTAAACAATAACAACAAGTTAAAAAAGAGCGAAACTCCACGGTCGGGTGAAATATAGTATTAGGTATTTTAAACTTGAAACCAATGTAAAATTGCTCTCGAAAAAATAATTCGGAGTGAAGGAAATCAGGTGAATTATTTCCGATACAGCAGACGTACTTCAATTATTTAACACCACTCTATCTACTTTTTCCGATGATAGAGCCATAATCTCATTTAACTCCTAAATAGTAACCACTACAAATAACCTCAAAGACCATTTAATCTAACTACAATATTGATTCAGCTTATGAAAAATTAAAATTAACGAAAGCAAGTCCACTCACATCACCTTTACCCTTAAGCCTACAACAATCCCCTCTGTTTACATGTATAACCAAATAATTCCAAAGGACAAATCTGCCAAATACCTAGGTTTCAATTTAGACCTAACTTGGGCTGATCACATCAAAGCTAAAAGAATTTCGTTTAACCTCAGGCTTCATAAATAAAAGTAAGTAAAAAGTAAAACCACTCCTCCGATCCAAAATATCTCTTATTAATAAAATACTAATTTACAAGAAAATTTTACGTCCTGCAATGACATATGGAATTCAACTGTGGGGTCCCTCGAAAAACTCAAACCTAATCAAATTTCAAGTGTTCCTATCAATAGATCTCTGTGTCCTCTCCAGTACTCCCCGGTACTTCAGCAACCACCCCCTACACCATGACCACAACTTACCACCAATATCCTCAATTGCCTCACTCTCATCATTATAACAAATTCCATACAAAACACCTTTAACCACTCTAGCCCGTTCATATCTAAACTCTCTTCTTGCACAATACCTGACAACCCTCTCCATCGTCTTAAACGTAAATGGCCACGCGATTTATTAAATAAATACTTAGTACCTACTGAATATTATATAGAACAATTCACCTCCTCCATAAGTTTATAATTTAGAAGTATTGTCGTTGGATGCTCCCTTCCTTCACGCTTGTCACGCCTAGTAATATTGTCATCATATTTACTTATTGTTTTCTTATGTATACAGATTGTAAAAAAAAAAATGTTCCTTTAAATTTTCATCCAACTTACGCCTTTTTTATTCTGAATTTACACATTCCCCTAATTAATGGATACCTCAAAATTGCGTGTGGCTCTTATCGTTATTTTAACATTAATTATAAAAATGTGTGTAGGTACACTGTAATGGGGACTAAAATGTTTATTTAAATTTAATTTTCATTAAAATATTTTTATACTTGTTTGGATTTACGAAATCAAATAATAACGGATTGCCTTTTCTGTTTTTTAATATGCTCGAATACCTATTTTATAGTTTTCACCATTTATTATTTTTATTTTTATTTGTGTTTGGCACTTGAAATTTTACAATTTAACAATTTAAAATCAACCAATTATAAATAAAATAAATGTTTCTTGTCGGTCTGTGCGTATCGGATAATGCAACGAGAGTAGCATACAATCAATTCAGCGGCTTCTCAATAATTGTAGAAATGTGATTGACGTGAAATAAAGGAACTCTCGATTTAGAGTACCTAATAACTTAAATGCAAATAATTCTAAGTCCAAGTATTTATTAACTTATCAAAACATTTCTAAGTTCAATTAAATAAATTATTAAGTAAATTAGCATGAATTTCCTTGCTATGATCGGACTAAAATACATTAAATGGTTCAGAACCCTCTTATATACCTACCTTAATCTCGTGCGAACTTCCTTCCGTTCTTTGTCCCGTAAATGTCTAACATATGATGTGGCTAGTCATATATAATTTCCATATATGGAGTTGTATTTCTGACTTATGTAACCTATGTCTAACCATTATTGTGTACTCAACCTTTGACAGTGCTCGACTTTAGGGAGGTCGCAGGGGAACGGAGTACCCCAACTAATTTTCAGAAATTTTAGCATCCCCCTACTATTATTACGCTATAATCATAACGCTCAGCCAATTTTGGGGACGTTCTTTTTTTTTAGTAAATAGAGTCCCCCTTCTTCAATTTTGCCAAGTCGAGTACTGACCTTTGATAATTTATTATAAATATAATTTTAATAGATTTATCTATATGGTATTTTTTTTTACGTTTTCCCACACCTACTCATGTGCATTATCTATTATACATTAACTATAACACCCCTTTACGTATATCAGTAGGTAATATATAAAAATGTATGCCCGTACCTAACAGAAACTAGAAAGAATTTAAAAAGTACAAAATATGAAAATTTCACACAATAATGAGGTGATGTTAATTGTTACTGAGTACGATATGAAAATTTATGAGAAATTTGCTGTATCTAGAAACATAGTAGATTACATAAAATAGAAAGATGATTTGAAAGCTGATTCGTAGAGATGAGAGATAATGAACCGCGAACCGTTATCTTTGATTATATTGATAATGTTATAAATATTAACCATGGTCTTAGAATTTTTTCAGTCTGCGGTCATGAACTCTTTTCTAGTGTTCATGTTTATAAGCATAGTAATTACATCAAGATTTAATTGATATCAAGGCTCTCCCGGCCGTGGCATGATTAATAACGTTCAAGTACTTCTTTATTCTTTAATCTCTGTTTAATCATGTCTGTGGTAACGTTTCAAAATATAAGTATATTTCAAATCGTGTCTATGGTCATAGTTTTATTTTTCGGTAGACCGTGGCTTTAGATTTAGATCAAAGTTCAAATATTAGAATTATAATCGTTAATTATCAACTGACAACAATGTTGAGATGACTCTACGAGAAATGGACCATTGGACTATGTTCAACTACGATAACTACAAATTCCTCTTGCGGTTTTGATATTTAAATTTAAGTTTACAATATGACAATCAAAGAAATGTCCTTTTAGTGTTCTATGTGATCCGAAGCATTAATATTATAATATTGATTTAGAAACTTTTGTTAACTGTAATTATCTGACTAAAATAAGAATAAATCCTTTAATACTTAGCAATATTCATGGACAACAAACATATTGTATTGCTGGCAACTGGATCTTTTAATCCACCGACAAACATGCATTTGCGGATGTTTGGTAAATAATGTTACATTATTTTTATGTTAAAAATCTAATAATATACTTAATTTCCTAGAAATTGCTCGAGATCATTTAAATCATTTAGGATTTACAGTTTGTGGTGGTTTGATATCGCCTACACATGATTTGTATAAAAAAAAAGATTTAGCTCCATCGATCCACCGGTGTGCTATGATCAAACAAGCTCTTGTCGCCTTACCTTGGGTCAAGATTTCTGATTGGGAGGTAAAGCAAAGCTGTTGGACTACAACAAGAAATGTTCTTCAGTATCACCAGGTAAACTTTTATTATTTATACCAATACATTTTTATCTATTATTACCATTATTTTTTTTTTTTTTTAGAATTTTCATGATATTATTATTTCATCAATACGGAATGGTGATGAAGTTGATACCTCTTTATTTCCTGTGCAATTTGTAAAAAATATTAATGCCAAAGACTTAAACCAAAATATGGCAATAAATATTAGACTTTTGTGTGGTGCAGATTTATTGGAATCTTTTGCTATTCCAGGTTTATGGAAGGACGATGATGTGAGTAATGTAAAATGTGTATACTATAAATTAATTAATTTATGCTGTTTATAGATAGAGGCTATTGTCAGAGATTTTGGTTTAGTTGTTGTTAGTCGTTCTGGATCGAACCCACATAAATTTATTTATGAATCTGATATTTTAACCAAATATATGGTAATATTTCTATAATAATGTTTTTTTATCAACAGTTTTTTATAAACTTTTCGTATACTTATTTAAAATACAGGCAAATATAATTGTTGTGACTGAATGGATATCAAATGAAATAAGTTCAACTAAGGTACGACGAGCATTATCTCGGAATGAAAGTGTAAAATTTCTCATTAGTGATTTGGTGGAATCATATATTAAAGAGCATGGTCTTTTTGGAACTTTAAATAAGTAAACAATAAAATTAAACTATATGTTTATATGTATTATTATTAATATTAATTTATATGTTATTGTTTGCTGCTAATTGATGTAAAAAAACAGTAAGTCTAATGATAATGATAGATCAGACTTAAACACGAGTAGTGTTTTCTTGTCACCTTCTCCTAGCAGTAAAACATTTAAAACATATCAAATAGATGACAAGAAAATAAATATTGACGAACCTGATAATCTTCAGTGTACTACAAAAAGAGAAAACAATTGTATTAAACCAAAGGTAAGAAATATAGCAGAAAATAAAGAGTACTCTTCTAGGGTTGCTATTCAAGTATCTGAAAATGGAATTATTGAAGTCATAAGCGACAAAGAAACAATGCTTTGACATTTAAATATGTATATGGATATTGTTACAAATTTGTGCCAAATTAATTTTATTAGTATTGGTTATTATACTTGAGTTTGTCCTTTTTTTAAACTATACTTCCATTTACACTGTGATTTTAGATTTAGATTTTCATATCCATTATATTTTGTTAAATACATTGGATCATTTTACATTTTATAGTGATCTAGATAAATTATAGTTTCATTTTTTTTTATTCATAAGTCTGATTATTAATTTTAGATCTTATAATTTTTAATTGTCCAAGTTTGATCTAATCTTGTTTGATAATTACATTGTTTTTATCTAAATACTTTACTATTATTTATTATTCTATTAAAATTTGAGTAAATTAATTATTCTGTTTTGCCTTAATTTATTTTCTTTTAAGTATTCATGTATTTTAGCAATGTAATTAAATTCATATGTAATTTTTCAATTTTTTATAGTAAATATTAAATACTAAATTAATTTTTTTAAAATTTTAAATAGTAATTTTAAATAAAATTATTCATTCAAAATAATAAATATCATAGCCTTAACTTATTATATATTAGTTTTATAGTGCCCATTTTGTATACATTTGATTTTTTAACTTTTATTAGAATTTTGCCAAAATTATATGAAATAAACCTAAACCAAATTTTTAGCTATTCCTAATATATTTAAAACCTATCATTCTTAATGTCACAACAATTATCTAGTAATTAACATGGTTTTAGACAAAACAAATCAATACTTAGTAATCTATTCTTATATTAATCAAAATATATTTCTATTTTTAATGAGGGATATCTAGTTGATTCACTGTTATGAGTGAAACTAGAATATTTCTGATTAAATGGTTCATTTTTAAATTGGATTAAATTGTATTTAGTAAATTGGTTTCAAATCGTAAAATTCCTTTCTGTTTTTTCAACTGATATTAAAGTAAACTTTGGAATGCAAGAATGAATTTATTTAGGTCATTTTTTATTTATTTTATTTATAAATAATTTGTCTAGTGTTTTCAATAGCCCTATAAATGTTCTATTGTTTACTGTTGATGCTTAAATATTTTTGGTAAACTTTGAGCATGATTGTATTAAATTACAGTCTAACATGAAAAAGCTATATAAATTGAGTGTTACAAATGAGTTGTCTCTAAACATAAATAAGTGTCAAGTTATACAATTTTTCCTTAAAAGAGAATTAATTTTCTTAAACTATAGATTAGGAAATTCCATTTTAACTAGGGTTGATTTCATAAGAAATTTGGGAATAATTGTTGAAGATAATCTTTCCTTTTCTAGACAAGCTTTGAGATTTATCAGTCATTAATGCTTTCCGTAGTTTTGTTAATAGAAATACTAAGGAGTTTAAAAACATAAATACTTTAAAATTGTTAAATTTCTTGTTGGATCAAAGCTTAAGTTTGGTTCTCTGGTACTTTAGTTTGGTCCTCTAATTATGCTACTTATATTAATTTAATAGATAATATCCAATACAAGTATACTAAATCTATTTGTTTTAAAATAAATATAAGCATATTTAGGGGTTCATATTATTTACACTCTACTCCGTTAAGTATTAAATCTTGTGAACTTAGAAGATAAGTTAGTGATCTTATGTTTTTATTTAACTAACTAAATGGTAACGTTGATAACTCAGAGCTACTTTCAATGATTGGCTTTTTAACTAGTCAAATTAACTTTAGAGTTAATAAATTATTTTATGTTCCATTTTATATTACTAATTATAGCTCAGTATCATACTATCCTCGAGTTCTATTGTAAACTAATAAAATTGTAAACTTTGTTAATTTTTTCTTTATGTCTCTTGACATTTTTAAGTTTAATATTTATAATGCATTATCCAATTGTATGTTGTAATTTGTTTCATTTTATTATTTTATTAATTGTATTATTATCTAAATTTATTTGATTTTTCATTTTACTTGTGTCAATTAAGAAATTGTATTTGTACTGTACTGTCATAGGGTTTTCACCTGTTTATAATTTAAAATAAATAAATAAAGGTAATTTTATATGGTTATCAATTACTACATATAGTTAATTATACCAGAAAAATAATTATTGTTTCCAAAAAAAAAGTATATAATATTTCATTTAAAAAAATGAATTTGATGCTATTATTTTTAATTCCATTATCTATTTAATACTGAATGTATAAGACATTTTACTAATTTATATTTTAACTTTTAACAAAAGAAAAGTTATCTCAGTATAATTTATTTTAGATAGTACTATCATAGTAATTAAATATTATAAATTAGTACTTAATCTATACATTATTAAACATTTTTTTACTTGTAAATGTTATACATAATTATTTTTTAATTCTTCAAATGTTTTTCATTGATACAAGATATTAAGTTGTATATTATGTTAATTAAAAATTCAGGCAAGAATGCATAATTTTCTTGTTGAATTTTATTAACAATTTTATACTATAAAATATTATTATTTATAGTTAATTTATAATTAGTTAATATATATGTAGACAGTTATTCAATTATTGAATGACCTAGTTACTACGAATCGAATAATTTGATTCTGATTATATGGCTTAATATTTATAGTATTTACTATACTTATTATATATAAAAATAGTTAAAGAGTAAAATTATAGTTTATTGCATGTTGCTTTACATACACTTTTAAACTATTTGGTGCATTATTTTTTGTGCATGTTATTTATAGAAAATGTATATTCACCAGATTATTTTTGATTTCATTAGTAAAAAATTACCTTTTAATAATTTATATGTTATGTAAATGTTACTAATTTGTTTATATTTGGTAAATAATGATCATAAAATTTAATAAATTATTGAATTTCAAAATTAATGAACAATTTATATTAATTTGCTTGATAAAATTGGTTAAAGCCATTAAATAACCTAATAGAACTTGGTCAAGATACATTTTTAAATATGATAATTTATCATTACTTTCTTGTTAAAAAAAATCTCTGTTAATTCAAATTTTGCAGCTGACTTTTTTTTTGTCAATTCAAGAAAAATTAATAATATAGCTCAACTAAACAATCCTTATGTATATAAAAGAACAAGCCTTTTTTATGTTCCCATTTTGTGATAACTCTATTTAATATTTTTCCAATTTTTTTTTCACAGAGTTCTTCCAAATACCTTTCTGAGTGTCACCATGTTACCCGATTTTTAATTTTTTTTTTTTTTGGTAAGGGATTGGAAAATTATTAATTAATTTTGTCACAAAATCAGAATATAAAAATATCATCCTCCTCTCCCTCCCTCTAGCAAAAATAAATAAAAATCAGGTAACATTGTGAAACTTAGGAGAGTATATAGCACAACTCTATGAAAAAAATTGGAAAAATGTTAATTTGTATCATCACAAAATTGGAACATAAAAAAAGGCCTTTTCTTTTATACATTAGGATTAGGATTATAGAATAATTTTTAATTATATGTGTATAAAATTATTAGAATCATTTATAAATAATATTATTACTTTTTTTTTTTATTATTTATAATTCAGCTACTACTACTATTTAGGACTTAATTAAATTAAGTAAAATACATTTCTATAAAACACAAAAATATGTGTTTATTTAAATATTTAATTTAGGGGAAAGCAAAAACTACACACGGACGAAGCCGGATAATTCAGTTAGTTGAGTTATATGGCAATAAATAAAGAAGATAGCTCATATATTAAAATTTTTTAAACAATTCCTCGTTAAAATTACAAAAAAATAATTAAATTTTTTTAAAATTCAATGAAAAATAAATCTTGTTTTCCATAATATGGAAATATATAAAATAATTATACTACCACTTTATTATAGCTAAGTATATCAAATGTTTGTGGAAAATTGATTGTCATTGGTAATATACTTCAAGTGTTCTATTAGCTACAAATTTATAATATTCTAAATAGAATTGTAAAAAAAAAAGTATTATTTTTTTTTTATTGTATAAAATGTAACATGCTAGTTTAATGTTTAGTGTTTATAGGTACAATATATATTAAGTCTTAAATCTAATTAATATTTTATAAATTCTAATTGAGAATTTCTTGGTTTTCATAGTTTTTCTTAGAATACTCATTTTTAGATTTTTTTAAATTTAAAATTAACTTCATATTTTTTAGTATTAGTTTAAAGCATGTTATTGTCTGTTTCAGGTGAAAAGAAAAAGAAAAAATCAGTAAATCAGAATTTAATTATATTTCATTATATAGTTTATATAAAATGTTTGGTCTTAATACTTATATTTTTCAATTTTATGTATTGCATGAGCTATAATGATTATCTGTTATGATTTTATGTCTTGTTTTTATAGTGTTATGATGTATGAGTTTAACATGTAAAATGTTTTTTTGTGTATATTACTTATATAATTTTTTAACTAACTATTTTTTATGTTTTCATTTTTTTATTGGTTTGTATTATATTGTTATTTTATTTTAATGTGCTATGTTGTTTTAAAATTTTAGTATGTTTCTGTTATTTCTAGGGTATTCTATATAGAGTATGAAATATACTGACACTGTATGACTTGATGATATTTCAACCCTACTTTTTGTTTTGATGTATAGTAGGTAGTATGATAATAAAAATTTATAATTATTAAACATTATATAAATTATATTACTGGCTTCATGTATTCTGCATATAACAAAAAATTTAAATAAAGGACTTAGGTTCAGTGTACTGTTAATCAATTAAAAATTGTAATTTCATTAATTTAAAATTGAATAAGTTGGTACTTAAAAAAGTTAAATAGAAAAAGAAGTATACTCATTTTCATTTATATTCTTAATATAATTGCTGAGTCAAATATTTAAAAATAGATTCTTTAAATGGTTATCAGTTTGTTATGGTAAAGTACCCATTTATAGATTGCGATCAAATATAATAATTATTTTATGAAGAATTAAAAAATTAATGTATTTGCTGGTTTTTCACTTATTATACAATATTGTTTTTTTTGTTAATTATAAATTAATATTATAATTATATCTTCTATTACCTATTGGCATCATTCAATTTAAACCTAAATCAAATTACTTTATAAAAAATGAACAGCAAAACATTTATTTTCTGATTTTTTTATGTGCATCTTTAATTGGTATATCAATCTATCAGATTATTATGATGGCTAAAACTCTTAGAGAGTAGGTAGTCTGGTCAAAAGAAAAAGAAAAAATAAATTGGTATATGTTGAATGTAGATGGGTTATATTATAAATGGATAAGTATAAAATACTTATCAAATTATCCAAAAATAACTTCTAAATTAAAAACTCTTATTTTATAAAAAAAAAAAAAAAAATGGTTAGTAGTTAATAATCTAACCAGTGCTTGAATTGGAGGGAGAATGCAGGTGCTTTAAAATGCTCTTCTACTATTTTTTTTCGTACATCAACTAGTTTTTCACTAAAACAGAAGGATTCCTGGAGAGGGGTAGTGTGGGGCAAAGCCCCCCCATGTGTCTGTGTTAAATAATTGCATACGTGAAAAGCAGTTTTTAAATCGTTGACTTAGATCTTCGACTTATTTTTCCCAATTCGACCACTGATTTTAACAATATATGTACATTTTTAAAAATATGATTGAAATTGTAAATTAATTATTACCAAATAACATTATAAATAGCAATTTTAAAAATAAATGTAATAATCAAAATTAGAATTATCCGGTATTACAATTTTTGTACAACCAAAATTGTATAAAATAAAGTACATAATACTGTACGGTTTAAAGTTGAAATTTGTGAAAAATAGTTGATCCGGGTGCTGGTGTAACGTTACCGCAGCACCCGTAAAATGAAATTGAATTTCGGGGAGGTTCGGGGGTTATACAAAATATAATTTTGGTTGTACAATATTGTACAAAATAAAGTACATAATACTGCTTGATTACAATTCATGATTTCGAAAGTGCGGGTGCTGGGGTAACGCACCTCGTGGTATCGATTGAAAAGTATCGACACTTTTACTTGGTAACGAATCGAATGAAAATACTAATATGAGTAAAATATCGAAACGAAAGGACCGATATGCGTAAATATCAAAAGAAAAGTGATGATTCTTTTACTTCGGCGTATCGTCGTATCGAATCGAATTAAAATAATGATAAGAGTAAAAATATAAAAACGACCGATATGAATAATCGTTCCGATTAAGAGAAAACCAATTGACGCTATTCTATTGTGGACTGTGGTTTTTGGTCCGTGGAAATAACAATATAATCATATAAAGTATAGACTATAGTGTGATGACTATCTGACTGATCTACGGAAACAAATCCACCACCACGCGCACAAAACATTTTGCTAGAAAATAATTATTGTACGATACCATTCGAGTATTTTGATTTTTGAACCAATACGGCGGTTAGTAATTGATTCGATACTGTTCATTCGATACCAGTATTTTCTTATCGATATAAGTATCAATACCACGCTATCAAATACAATAAGTACTTGTATAGTAATATAAGTATCAATACTTTATTGGTATCAGTAGTATTGCAACATTCATAATCACGTGTTCTCTTCCGTAAATTGTTGTCTTCGTGGACGCCGATAGTATGATTATGTTGCTGTGATGTTTCAAACATCGTGTTTCCTCGTCAACCAATCTTGTTGTCCAACATTGTTTCATAGTGGCCCATCTATAGGTCAGTGACTAAGTGTACCTTTTGGCCAGTAGAAGAGAAACAAGGCCGAAACTTCACACATAGTATGACAGAACTTGCGTCCTATTCCCTCTACACCCGATTTTACAAACTTTTTTACTTCTTCATAGACTAAAATGTTAAATCTTCAGCATAATGACAACTTGAGATAATTAATGTAAATATTAAACTTTATCTTCCATTTAAAATAAGAAAATAAGTTAGGGGGTTATATTTGTTATAACATACAAGGTAAAAAATACCATTAAATAATTTTATATCCTAGAACTATGTACAGCAATTATTGATCAATAATCTTTTTCAGAAATGCTCCTGTGCAGAGTGTCCTTGATGCAGTGATATAGCATTTGGCAAGTAGTGGTATATTAAGTAACCAGAGTAATCCAGCTATAGCTATTACATTGAATTACAATATTATTTGATTATTAAATGAGAAAAATAATATAAAGATAATAAATTTATTTCAAATTTTTAAACTTGATTTATAAATGATTAGATATAAAGCATAAATTTAAATATTTTATAATATTTTTATTATATTTTCAGTAAATTACAAAATTATCATACTTATACCAGATAAAATGACAAGGTAAAAATTAAAGGAGTTAGTCTAAAAAAAAGCTAACCTCAGCTCCGGGAGGAATTTTGATTTAGGTAGAACAAAAAAAAATGAATTAAAATTTGAAACAAAATTGGATTGATTGATTTAAATTTAATTAAATTTTATATTTATGAACGCAATATTTTAAGAATTTATTATAATAAGTTAATTTGAATAATATGATTGAAAAGTTTTAAGATATTTTATGTAAATAAAATTATTTTGATTTTTATACAATTAAATATTTGAAATGGAAAAAAAAATTATAAGTAGGTACCAGGCTTTCGAAGGACACCTTCTTTAGGTTGAAACGATAAAAAATCCAAGTTCTGAAAAAGAAACATAAAAATAAACGAATTAAAATTTGAATATTTTGAAACGAAAACAGATTGATTAATTTAAATTGAATTATATTTTACATTTATGAGAGTGATCTATCAAGAATTAATTATTATTAGTTAATTTTAATCAAATGATTTAAAAGTTTCAAGATATTTTATGTAAATTAAATGAATTTTAGTTTTATTCCATTAAACATTTAATGAATAAAATTCAACAAAAAAAATTATAAGTGGTTACCTGGTTCTTGAAGGACATCTCCTTAAGGTTGAAACGATAAAAAATCCAAGTTTTGAAAAAGAAATATATTAGATTTATCAAGATTTTTTATGTAAATTAAATGAATTTTATTTTTATACCATAAAATATTCAAAGTGTTATGTTCAGAAGTAGAAATGAAAAGGGGATCCCCGGCTCCCGGAGGAAAATTGATTTGGGTCGATCAAAAAAAAAATCCAGGTTCTGAAAAAGAAACATAAAAATAAACGAATTAAAATTTGAATATTTTGAAACGAAAACAGATTGATTGATTTAAATTGAATTATATTTTACATTTATGAGAGTGATCTATAAAGAATTAATTATTGTTAGTTAGTTTTAATCAAATGATTTAAAAGTTTCAAGATATTTTATGTAAATTAAATGAATTTTATTTTTATTCCATTAAACATTTAATGAATAAAATTCAACAAAAAAAATTATAAGTGAGTACCAGGCTCTCGAAGGACACCTCCTTTAGGTTGAAACAATAAAAAATTCAAGTTCTAAAAAAGAAACATATTAGATTTATCAAGATATTTTATGTAAATTAAATGAATTTGATTTTTATTCCATTAAATATTTAATGTATAAAATTTAATAAAAAAAAAAAATTAATAGTGATTACCTGGCTCCCGAAGAATCCTTGGTTTATGTTGATACAAAAAAAAAAAAAATCCACGTTTTACTGAAATTAAATATAAAAACTAATACAATTTAACACAACTTAAAAAATAGTTGGGAATAAACCAAAAAATACTTTCCATAGAAATAGACAAATAAATCCAATATCACATAAAGAATAATCCATCAAACAAATACCTAAAACAAATCATAAAAAAAAAATTTCCGAAGAACAAAACCAAGTATATAACAGTTATAATCATATTCCTTTTTAGTAACGAAAATTCAATATTATTCAATACAACATAAGAAACAACTAAAAAGTAAAAACCAAGAAATACCGCACGTAAAAAATAACAACAATTATATCTAACACTATAAAAAGGACAATAACCAACGCAAATCACAAAGAAAAATCGAAAAATAAAAAGCTGACCAATAACAAACATTACAAATATTTTCCTAAATCAAAGCCTAAGAAGTTGAACAGCTGATCAATTACTACCTAAAACCAACAAGAGCTCGGGATCCTGGGTTCGCTAAGACCCGTAAACACGTAAGAACGTGTTCCCTTGGGGGATAACGAATGCCTAAACAAATCACGAAAAAATATGCCGAACAACAAAAAACAGACCTACATCAAACGGCGAAAGAAATTCCCTAATTCATAGGTTCCCAAAGTGTGCGCCGCGATGTATGTATAAAGGCGCCGTGCCGTCATGAAATACTATCGGGTCTAACATTTTCCTTATGATTAGTCATGTTATGACTTAGAGAAGGGCGCCCAGAAAAAACCTTGGATCAAAAAGGACGCCTAGAGTAAAAAAAGTTTGGGAAGCACTGCCCTAATTCTTAGCCAATGGTGTTGAACAGTTGTTCAACACTACCTAAAAACAACCAAACAAAAGATATTCTAGAATACTTACGCATAAAAATAGACAACAAATATGTCCAATACCAAAAATCGACAAGACATCAAACAAATACCTAACGCAAATCAAAAAAGACAACAAATAAATCCAAAACCACAAAAAATACAAATCACTAAACAAATACCTAATACAAAATACAGACCTACGTCAAATAGTAAAAACGATTCCCTAATTTGAAAACAAAATATTTAAACAGCAATTTAATACTTCCTTAAAACAACTATACAAAAAAAAATCTAGAACAATTGTGCATAATAAAAGACAAAAAATACATCGAATACCACAGAAAGGACAATCTATCAAACAAATACCTATCACAAATCATAAAACAAGAACCAGAAGAACAGTAAATCAACAAAATATTAAACAGTAAAAAGATAATCCCTAAATAGAAACTAAAATTTAAAAACTATTCGACACTATCTACAAAAAAGCCTAGAAAAAGGGACCAAGTAATACCAATCATAAAAATAGACAAAAAAATATATACAACTCCATAACACTAACAATGCATCAAACTAATACCTATCAAAAATCATAAAATAAATATTGGAAGATCAATAAATCAACAAGATATCAAACAGTTAATAAAAAATTCCTTATTAGAAGGCAAAAAAAAAATGAACAGCTGTTCAACCCTGCCTACAAACAACAAAAAAAAAAAAATTCAACATCTACTACTCATGAACACAGATATATTTATTTAACGCTTAATTTATAAAATTATAATTATTAATAATTAATTTTATAAGAAATAAAAAAAGCAACTACTTTTTAAGCCAATTTTCCTGTTACAACTGAGTAATTATTTATTTTCAAGCCCCCCTCTTACCATTGTAAAATTCTGCATGCGTCACTGACATCAACTGACATATCAGCCTAGTTGTAACGGAGTACTTCCGTTGGAAAACGGCCCTTTACAGGGCCTCCATATAAAGCAAAATGGCCATGTAAAATAGCACCGGTTGTATCACCAACTACATGCGGGGGATATTATTTTACGCAACCATAAAAATGACAGCATAAAATGATACCAACTGATAACAAAACATAGCCGGAAGATGCTATTTTACATTGTCAAAACAAACAAGTGCACAAATTTTCGTTTGGATTATCCACGGGACATCAATGAGTAAAAAAAACAGGCCCCAAACACCTTTTCAATACACAATTTTTCAATTAAACCAATATCATCAATCCAGTTAGGAGTATTGAAGAGAGAAGAACAGTTTTACGACTCCGGCGACAACGACGGCTGCTAACAGTGCCGACATCAGCGTAGGAGATGACCAGATTGACGATGACGACAGCGACGATTACTGTGACCGCGACCATCAACATTACTGCGACGAAAACGACTCGTACAATGATCTTTGCTACGACCACTGCAGCAACATGGTTACGGCGACGACGACAACAACATTGAATATCTGTCAAAGTTAGATATCCAACGGATATATAAATTAAAACGGCCTTTGTTTGGACTACCAAATTCCAACCGACCTCCGATTATTCGATCGATGAGGTTCCGGGTCCGCGTTGGCATACTGACGAAAATTATTTGAGTTGTTCCGATTATTGCCATCGACCACCCCTTGCATAATTGTAAATATAATAACCAGCCATACTGTATTCTTGGAACCCGATCAGCCGCTTATTTAAGCCTGTTGATCGGGACCCAGACATGGAAAGTATACCCCATGATCTCAACAGGTACTATTGGAATACAAACAATGTAGTCATGCGCGAAGGTAGTTGACACTGGTTGTCCACTTTAATATAAATCGGTTTCTTGATCACACATTTCACTGATAAAGGGGTTAATCTATGCTAAAAAAAATAAAGAAAATCAATTCCCGGTTACATTGTTCATGTATCGTAAGAAAGTTAAGACTATATATTATTTAATAAACATTGTAACGAACACAATTTATTGGGCCGTAGTTGCCGTTCGTTACTGTACTTCCGCCGCGCCGCATGACGGCCAAACAGAGCAACACCGACATATTGCCAACAGAGCACGCGCTACGGCGCAAAACTACTGTTCCCGTGCCAGTAAAGCTTATCGTTTATCCACTTAATTGTTAATTAACACATCAAAGGTGATAATTAACTATTGTTAAGTGCTTATTGGACCAGTAGGACTTCCCAAGAACACCGATAGTCGACAACAATAATAACAAAAATGTTGTTAAAAATGTGTTTTTATTATGTATTTAACACATAATTAAAACACATCGAATACAATAGTTGGCATACCATGATGGTTTATATAAACCCATCGATCACGGCGTCTGAACTCAAGTTCAGAAATACTCAATTATTACATCATAGAGTTAACAGCGAACGGTCCTTTCGGCAAATTAAAGGATTATCATTTATTCGACCATTAATGTAATAGCAATGCCACACCGTTCGTCGCATATCGTTACTTGTTCCCCGTTCTCGTAGTATTATATCAATTAGTGATGGGCATCATTGAATGATTTCAATAATCGAAATATTAGTATTTGTCACATTTTTATAATCGAGGATGTCTCGAAATAATCCTTCGAAATATTAATAATCGACATACATGATTAGTGATGGTCTTAATCGAATGATTTCAATGATCTCTGAGAAATTGTGGTTGAGTAATACAAAAATTATAGCTATATATTTATGTCAAACTTTATAATATAAATAATTAAGAATAACCGTATACCCACCCATCGATATTTGCCTCCGATATTTGTCCCACGAGTAGCACAAGTCGAAAATACGAAGACAACAACTAGTATTTACTTATTCGGTTATGAAAATTAAAAATAGTATTCCTCCCTCTCTCTCCTTCGTTCCATGAAAATCATTCGAAATATTTTTTCATTCGATATATACTTCGAGATCAAGAATTGATAGTTTTTAAAATTAACTCTCAGGTATGTAATCAAATTATTATTTTGGTGATCGAGATATCACTCGATATATTCTCTAGGTCATAAAATTAAATTATTATTTTCATAATCGAGATATTTCGATCACGCCCATTACTAGTATCAATGTCTCTCGGCCACTAGGTTACAGTATTCAAACACACTTATGTTTTTTCACTCTCCGTTTCCCGTGTTGTATCAGTGTCTCTCGGCCAATAGGTAAAATCGCTGATACACATCGTGACTAGTAGTACGTGCACGTTTTGCCTTTTCCGCTCCATCAGTGCCGCCGCCACCGAATTTGAATGAGCTGTGCCACCTGTCGAGAGAGACATAGCCTACTTTAAACATAAGTTATTTCGGGCGCGCTTAGAATGGATGCGCAAAGAACGCGTGATAAGATTATGTGTTAAAAGAAACATGAGTGTGCCGACTTAGCACTTGTCTAAACTTGTTGCAGACTTGTCCGCCATTCCAAGAACGTTGTTATCTTTAGACGTGTCTGTTGGATCACGCGTGATTTGAGCGATCGATGAATCGAAATATTTAAATTTTAGTATCAGTACTCAGTAGTGACTAGTGGCACGCTATAATTCCAATTTCATGTGCATTCAATTAACATTCCAACTCTGTGTTTTTTATTATATTAAATAAACTCTTTGTAGTTTACATATTTTAATATCTGAAAATATGACTGATACGCGATATTGGTCTTAAGAATTCACGACAACTTTTTTAGAAAAGTATCGCGAATTCCCTTGTCATAATATACCCATAGACGCGATTGGATTTTTTTTGTTTTAATTTTTATTTAGTTAACGTAGTTAAAACGTTTTCATCAATTTTTAAAGTAATAACCAACTTCACGAAAGTGCTCTCCGATCACTACTACAAGAAACATGTAGTTTTTAATCGAACTCGCGCTAAAACTAGGTGAAATACACAGACGCCAGACGCTATTCCAATAGCGCATGAAAGCGCAGAGTTTTGATCTTTACACGGACGCGCATGGAATCAACGTGAAACAGAAAAGGTATAACACTCACGATTGGCGTGTGTTGTTATAAGAAACACGGTTTTGGTGTGTCACTCACCAAGAACCCGTTAAAGAACGTGCTCCAGGTGAGTCCATTCCAAGCGCGCCCAAAATCGCTTACGTCTAAAGCGGGCTATTCACGAGGGCTGTATTAGTCCGTGTTAGTGTAATATCCGATGATACACACCGTGATCTTGTAGCACACTTGTGACTGATATCACGAAGTCGCCGTCGCCGTCTGCCAAAACCATCGACCAGTGATCGGTATTGTAACACGTGGTTGTCTAATCATCGCTCTGTCAGTACCGCCACCATCGAATTCGAGTGCGCCGTGCCACCTGTCAATTGATTGCAGTACGTAATAACGGTCATTAAATCACTACCAATCCGGACTAACTACAGATCCAGTGTGATTACGGGGAAGAGAACTACAGTTAGCCAACCATCATTGACGGAGAGCAATATACTCATTGGTACCACAATCGTGACAGGAGCGTATTTTAAAGGGAGGGAGAAGAGGGCGATCGCCACTCCTCTTAATCCGTATTATAGGAATCGATTTTACGAGTGTGTGAGATATTCATTACAAATTCATTTAATGTGAATCATTTTATAACGAAATCAAATTACGCGTGGCTGTGAATACTGAATTGGGCTTTTTGTCGGATCAATACCTACTTAGAGAAAAATCAAATAAAACACAAACGTAACTTTCAAAACACAGAGAGGTGTTAAAAAAGGGGCGCATATCGACTCCGCTGAAAAGGTATTTTTACCTGTAAAAAACCTATCGATTGCGCTGAATATTTTTATACATGTAACGTCACTATATACACATTAATTATAGATACTATATATAATATATAGAAATATATTATTAAAGCAAATTCAGCTATAGCGGATTATAAAACCATAATAGGAAATATAAATATAAATTTGTTAAAAGATACGACAATTCAAACAAATACCTTACATTGATGGCTGAATATGGCTACTTGAAAATGATTAACAAAATTACTAGATATGTATCTAAAATACTTGTCTTTATCATATATTTATGAAATGTAAATCTATAAAATTTTCCAAAGCTATAATTAGCCCGAATACAATAACAGTTATTGTTACTGATCATTACGAAATATTCCTCAGTATCGGAAATTGAATAACAATAGAAACAACACTCCAAATCAGGGGCGTCATTTCACATTTTAAACTGAGGTGGCTAACTGAGGAGTAATAGTTTTTTACTCTCATTTAAGTTTCAAAACGATTTTTACTATAACTATTAGGCTATTGCCTATATTAGAATATAACCATGTACAAATATAATAATGCATTGTTATTTGAAATATGGATAAAATATAAAAAATTATGTCTTATAACAATAAATAATATTCATAAATACTTCTCAATCGCGATATAAGAAGTATGTAAAAAAGGCTTAGTTTCCTGGTGCTTGGAGGCCAAGGGAAATATAATTTATATTGTAATTTTAAATATTATTTATGTACTAAAGAAAACATAAATAAATATTATTAAAAACATTATACTTTAAATTATAACAAAAATGAACGCTTTAATGACAAAAGAAAAAAATGAAAAGAGCTATCCAGAAGTCTAGAGACTACTTATGCAGGCAAAATTAAAAAAATTTATTTAATAATAATAAAAAAATTATTATACTAATGCTATTTTAAATTTATACATTTAGAGTATTAATAATTTAAATGAATGATGAATACAAAAAATTGATTTAAGTAATGAAAAAATATTATTAACATAACTGAGAATACTTAATTATTGTAAGTTTAAAAAGGTCATGAATTAAATATAAAAAAATAAAATAGTAACTAAGAAAATATAAAATAAATTGATTTAATTATAATTACAGTTGTTATTAAAAAGAAAAACGACGTACCAGAATTCGTGGGAGTAAGTAGGTATGTGTTTGTCTATCGTAAGTTCGTTTCACTCTGGATCGACTCTTGGATTTCGGTTGTTTACTATAATATAGAAAATAAATACAATGTTTTAATAATCAATTACATTTTGAGAATTAAAGGAAAATAAATTATAATTTATTTTTTCATGTTATTAGTATTAATATATACAATGGACGGGAATTATAAAAAATATAATTTATAAGGATGACAATATTTAACAAACACAAATAGAATAAGACAAGTAATATTGGACATGGATTGTCTCATCGTTGCTCCTGTCACAATATGCCACCAAAAAATATTATTTTAATGTGAATGTTTTTTATTTAAAACAATTAATTTTAATTCTGAAAAACATTAACCAATGAAATACTAAGATTTGTTAAAGTTGAAAAAGTTTTTATACACCTTCATTTAAGTTTCAAAACGATTTTTACTAAAACTATTATTCTATAGTGCATCTTAGAATATAACTATCTACAAATACAACCAAACCCGGATTATAATAATTTGAAGCCCGGGACCAAACAATTTTAGGGGCTCACAACCATAATACATAAATATATTTCAGAGAAAAAAAAAAAATTTTATTCTAATTTATAGAATGTTTTTTATTTACAACAACTTATCTTAAAACTTTAACTGATGGAATACTGAGCTCTTTTAGAGTTGTAATAGTTTTTATACACTCTCATTTAAGTTTTAAAACGATTAGGCTATAGAACATGTTAAAATATAACCATGTATAAGTATAACAATGTATTGATATTTGAAATATTGATTAAATATCAAAAATGATGTCAAAAACGACAGTGCTTCTTCGTCGGAATCCATTTTTACAGTAGCCAATAGATAAGGTCTATCTAGGTAGGTCATATATTATTATATTATTTGTGGTCGTGGTGTGGTTACGTCGGCGACAGCTGGAACACATAAAAGTGTTTCAAAAGTTTACTTATAATTAAATGATAGTATTTAGTCACTAACTATCAGTACATCGAATTTTCGATAAAAAAATAAAATAATAATTGATGATGTCTATTTATTTCCAATAATCCAAATATTTTTAAAGCTATAACTAAATAAATCATTATTATCAGCAAAATGTGATTATTTCCTGTATTATGTCAAAATATACTCAGAAATAGCACTATAAACCCTAAATTAGCAAAATAGCCATAAGACTCGTAAATATGCGACAAAAATAGCAAAATTAAATTTTGTGTATGATATCCAAGTAACGTGAAACATATTGGTATCTTACTTTTGATGTTCTAGGATGAACCAAGAAAAATATGCATTTGCTAGAACTTCCGAGTCCTGATAATAACGCATAGAATGTTGTAGTAATATGTGTTTTTATTTTTTGTCTGCGGGCCGGATAAAATTTGTTAGTGGACCTCCATTTGGTGACCCGTGTTATAGACTATAGTGTCACTGATTTTTATAAGCGAATCCTTCACCACGCGCACAAATCATTTTACTAGAAAAGAATTATTGTTCGATACCATTCGACCACTTTTGATTTTCGAACCAATATGGCGGTTAGTAAATGATTCGATACCAATATTTTTTTTATCTATATGAGTAAAGTATCGAAACCATGGCTATCGATATAAAAAGTACTTGTATCAAAAGAAAAGTATCGATACTTTATTGGTATCGGTAGTATCGCAACGTCCCTAGTTGTGATTATGATTCCAACGTATTCGAACATGCATATGTAACGTAACGTATTTCGTAAACGTATTGCAATGGCTAGTTAACGAGAGAAATTATGTTTGAAAAAAAAAAATTGAGATTCTTGAATTTGAAGCATCTAATACAAATATGGGTGTTCGTGCGTTCGTAGACAAGTTTTGTATAAGTAAAACACAAATCGCGGACATCAAAGCTAATAAAGATACGCTTTACATAAAATTTATATAATATAATTTATAATGTAAACAAATATTATTATTATAAATATTATATGTAATGTTACGCCGAATTTATGAAATTACCGATTTCATAAAATAAGCAACGTTGTCGCCGAATACGTGAAATCGGCAACTCAAAGTACATAATACTGCCGATTGCGTGAAATCGGCAAGGCTTTTCTTAAAAAATTATAACACATAATTTAATTTAAATAAATGTGTAAAACACTGGAAATATAATAAAATAATAAATACATTTTAATGTGTAAAAAAAGTAAATAAAAAAAAATTGTATTATATTTAAATATTTTGGCAAAATGGCTTGGGTTACATGCCGAATTACAAATCATATTATTTTTTTTACATGTGCACTTTTTAGATATGCAATTCGTACGACAAATACGCCAATATTTAGCCAATTAATAGCCTTGTCCGGTCTCAACTGACCCCAATCTAACAAGTTCCCGTAATGAATATTAATTTTGTTAAACGTCTGCAGTCGTCAAGGAACAGTACTTTGTAACTGCCAAACTGTTCCGCTCCAGACATGTACTTAAAATCCCTTCTTTAATCCCAATACAATATTTGCTATCTTTTTTCTATGATAATTACAAGAAGGCAGGCTGCATCACCTCGCCCTCGATCCACATACGGGATTGACACCAGCACATTGTCACCAACTTTTAAAAGAGGGAGGAAATTTTCAATTACTTCTATAAACCACTATTTGTAATTATATCATAATAATGTGTTACCGAATTCGTGCAATCGGCAGAAAAAAGTTGCCTAATTCACGAAATCAGCAATCAAAATTTTCCGATTTCGTGAATTTGGTAGCCAAATTGCCGATTACACGTATTCGGCGACAATGTTGCTGCTTTCATGAAATCGGCAATTTCATAAATTCGGCGTGACATATACATAAATATATATTTATTATATAAATAATAAATTTTTGCTATTATTTTCCATTAACGGTTACAATGAAATTGTCCATAGAAATGGGGTCACTATTTTTTATTCAAACAGTTAAACTGGTAAAAACCTTATCTATCCTATATGATAAATAGGTATATTTTAAATTGTCGTTGTGGTGGAGGTGAAAAATATACTGCTGTACACTTATATAGTTATATATATTATAAGACATCGAATGAGAAAATGATATAAGACCGTTAATAATTCATCCATAGTAACTTGCATACTACTCATAGTATTAAATCTACAAATAGGTACTTAAAATTTAAAAGTATTATAGACACAGTATATTAACGTAGCTTATCGAAAACGGACCCTCCAATCGTAATTTGAATTCTACAGGATGCATTTTCAACGATATTGCCATCGATACAATAGACTTGCACTTCGATGGTCTATTATTAAATAAAATTAAAGCGTTTGATGAAAAATACAATTATTTCCAAATTATTAATATAGACCATTACGGAATATAAAGAAAAGAAGGGGTACACCTCAGTAGTGTCATTTTGAGAGAGGACTTGCCCCTCCTTATCATTAGCGGATCACTGTCGGCAGGTGTGGATCCAGGGGGAGTCATGGGGGTCATGATCCCCCTCAGAAAAACATCAAGTTAGGTCCTTCGTGTTTATTTAAAAATTAAAATATGTATAAATTGTGGTTTTAATTTTTTTTCAATTAATTTTTTCTTGCAATAAAAATGTTATACAACATATTATATATATTTATATGCATTTGAACTACATCACCACTTGTTTATAAAATTATAATTTCACCATCCAACTTCTAAGAATATTAATAGTGATTATAAACAGGGCCTGCGTTACCTTTTGCGAGGCCCTGGGCTAAACTTATTTTACCCACAACAATGGTCACCTATAGTGGATAACATATACGCGATATCGGGTAATGATTGATTAAATTTAAGAAATGCGATAAAATAAATGTCCTATGTATCCCTGAGCGGCGTGTCGTACGGGTGTCGTCGTTGGTATACATGACTTATGAAATATAATAATGTTGTTTTGTTTGTTAATTGGTTTTTTTTACACGCCAACGGATTTCTCTAGAAAGGCGATCTGCACATTTCACGTTTTATTTTATGAGATTTCCGTACAAAATATTTTTCAATTAAAATTTTAAGGCGAGGTCCTGGACAAATGCCCCGTTTCGCCTCCCCCTAACGCCGGCTCTGATTATAAACTTACTGAGATGTTATAGACTATAATATTGTTGGCGAATAAATATAAATAGGTATAATAGTGTAAATCTGTGGAAATTTTTGAGTCTTCGACCTTCGACGGGAAGATAACTTATCTTAGATAAGATTACTGTCAATCCGTTGGCTGATACCGAATTGGTTCCCGAGCTCCAACCCAACGTGTCGAATTGGTTCTCGTCTGAAAAAGGTATGTTATTAGGTATTGCCGAATTGGTTTCCGTTTAATTACGCACATTTTCCTTTTCAATTTTACAGGCTACTGTCAACTTTAAAGTAGGCTTGGTTAATGTGCGTTAATGTATGTTAAAAAAAATGATAAAATATATAAAATTTTAAATCGTTGATTTGGAAGTCAACTAGTCATCACTTAGGTGTACGAAATACAAATAATAAAATATAATAAATACATTTTAAAACCACTAATTTGCAAATTTGAAGCTAACTTTCTTTAAATATTCAATTCTCGTAATCTTTTCATTAATGGACTCAGTCATACAATTTCCAAGTATTTGTTATTTCTTTCCTATTTGCTAGTAATTTGCTAATCTCTAGTAATTTATAGTCTATTATATTTCTATACTCTATATTCTATATTCTATTTTATCGATATAATAATTATGTCTATACGTCATTCATATAGCTATTAAAATTATTTTTTTGCTCTCTATGCAATGGCCCGCCTAACCTGTACACAAACGGGAACCAATTCAGCTATACCTAATAAAATACCTTTTTCACATAGGAAACAATTCGGTTTCTCCCAATCCGTTACCCGAATGTTTATATAATATTATAGGCAGAGATGGAACTAGGAATTTTTACGCCCGGGTAAAATGTTAAAATTACGCCCTATCCATAGCCTAATAAACAAATACTCAAATAAATTGTGTTCTTATAATCAATATACAATCGTACTTATTCAGTTTTACCCTAATATCAGTATTTAATGAAGTTAAAAATATCAAATTAGTTGTTAATAATTACGAAAATTACACCCTCTAAAATGTTACGCCTGGGAATAAATCCCCGACTTCCCCCCCCCCTAGATCCGGCCCTGATTATAGGTACCATATACTTATTATGGCTAACCGCTAATCGCTAATTTAGGTACTAATAACTTGTTAAAAAGTACTATAAATGTATTAATTCTCTACTCTCAGGCGTCTTTAGACATCACTTTGCTTAAACATGGGAAAGGAACGTCTCACAAGAATATACCCATAAATGTTGATAATATTATTTCTAAATTTGGAAAAATAAAACAAAGAAGATTAAACTTTGTTATTTAATTTTAAAAATTAACAATTTCATATATTCATAACGTTCTAATTTGAATTAATAATTTACTTTTATTATTTTGTAATTGTGTATTCTCGAAAAAATGACCCCCTAAAATTTGAATTCTAGATCTGCGCCTGGCTGTCAGGCCGGATACGGGTAGCAAGTCCATTAGAAATTAACTTTTCAAATTACTATTTTACTAACAGTATTTTATTAATGTAATTGTCAGCAAGCGGTTTTTTTCTTGTTTAGTTGTATTATAGGCCGGTCAAAACTTTTGCCTACCCCCTTTCAAAAACTGAAATGACGCCATTGGTAAACCACATGGATGTTTTTGTGGGTTTGTCATAAGACAATTGATCGAAACAGAAACCTGTAAAATCGAATACATTTTTTTTATTCGTAAAGATCTACATAACCCATTTCTTTTACTACGAAAAATGCTTGGGTAGTCAAAATGGATTCCATCTTGGTAAGTAACAACTAATACTACTGTGTCCACCCCTTGAATACGTTCGATTAGTTCTATGTGTTCGCTGTGCCGTGTAGACGGCAGTGATCGAGCGTTATCGAGAGAAACTCCGAGTTGGCACCACTGGCCGGCGTCGGTTTGATTGGACACACTGCGGACATTGTTGTCTGACAGAAGGGTGGCGGTGTCATCGATGGTGCACGAACGCTGCCGACCGCGATGTCGCCAAGGGATTTCTCCTTTTTTTTTTTGTTTTGTTGATTTCTTTACGGGAAACTATCTAATCTGTTGGTTCCTCGTTTTTTCCTCTTGCCGGAAATTTTTGTTTTTCACGCCCGCCGCACGGTCATTACAGACGTGCGCCAGTCGGTGTTTCAAGCATTTCCGAGGTCTTCTGATCACGCTCGCTACACTCACGCTCGCCACTCGACCAGCACATTGATCCTCGACGACTGCACTGCGCATCTTCGTTATCTTAGAAAACTTTCTCGATCGTCAGATCTCTTTGTGCGTGTTGGGTGTCATTTGCCATTGCACACCATTGCTGCTGAAACACCGCTGTTGACGTTAGCTGTCCGGATACTTCCATAAGTGTAAGTATAGCGTTGCTGTTGTTATTGTTATTATCGTCGTCATCGTTGTTGTTATTAGCACAGTCGTCAAGCTGACACATGTGCGCGTCGCGTTCGCGAGTCTGCAGATTTTCCGACTGGACGTTATCCATTGCCGACCACATGTTTAACTATCTTTGACTGCTGTTATCCCCGTGTTCAAATTACTATTCCGTCAGTCTTCTTGCCTTTTTTCAAATAGGTACCTACACCCTCGATCGAGCAGGTGGCGTACGCATCCTTCTTATGTATTCAGTTATTGCGAAGCATCAACTTACAACCATCGAATACGAAACTACCGATTTAAGGCCTCAACTCGATATTGTAATTTTTCGCTACTGCTCATTATATCAGTTCCCCGAATTCTTTATGTGTTCTACGTGATTCACGTTTTCGTTCTATTCTTGTTGACCATTTTTAAATTAGTATTGTTTGTTATCGTTTAATCTAACATTGTAGTTAATTTATGTTTTTTTTATACGGTTTTATTCATTCAAATTGTTTCTTTTGTTTGGTTGCATAACAAAGAATTTGAATAATCATGACATTAAGGAATTACATAATTTGAGAACTGTACTTATTGATTTTCTTAATCTTTGCCCAATACTGTCATAGCTGATTAGTATAAATTGTATTGCTTCAATGTATTATTTCATAGCAAGTTTACCTTTCATTTATTTTTTGTACTTTTTTCTCATAGGATAATATTTTATTGGTCGTGTTTATAGTAATTCAAATTAAATATTTATAGAATATTATATTTTAAAACTTATATGCCACACCCAATGAATATATAATATTTATTCATTCGTCTAAAAAGTTGTATGATGAAAAGTATTACTAGTCTTAAATATCAATTTAGAATTGTTATTAGTTGGTTAGGTAATATATTTACCAAAAATGTATTATTATGGATATTATTATTTAATATTTTGAAAATTGTAAAATGTTAATGGATGGGATTATGGATTTTTTAAATGACCACAAATTATTTGATATATTGTGGCTGTGGTTATCAATTAATTTCCATACATTTTAAATATAAAAGAAATTTTAATTTGTGTTGTTTTTTTTTTTATTTTACAAGCATGCATCTACTTCATATAAATTAATTTGTTATTTGTAACTTAGATTTATTTACTATATTGTTCTTTTATTACTTAAATTTTGTAGTTCAATTAAATAGTTATTTGTGCATGTTGTATTATTTTTTATAATACTTTGATTTCTAATTAAGATGAATTGATGAAAATTCCTTTATAGATAAGTGTCATTATTTTAGTTATTAGTAGTAAAATAATAATAAAAATATAGTATTTAACCTTTTGATTATAAGATTAAGTTTTTAAACATAGTTATGTGTTCATTTTTATTGTTGAAATAACTTATAAATAGCAAATTTAAATTTATAATGCACTTGTAGTTAATTAATTTAATATTATTAAACTATCTACAAATATCAAACCTAGGTCAAGAACAAATCTTGAGGTTCACTAGTATTTTATGGTTGAACGATTGGTTTATGCAGTAACTTAGGGATTTATCGAACTGAAGTTTTCACAATCTCGAATCCGAACTCGAACATAATTTTTTTCTCAAACTGTTCGAACACGAACTTGTTGGTACTTCGAACTATTTTTGAACTTTCTATCTTTCGAACTTTGAAAAATTAAAACATTTAAAAGTTAAAAATTTGAGTTTTTACCAATTAGGTATGACAAACTAAGAAGTTTAATGTTATAATAGAAGTAAAATTATTAAGTAATTTTATTATTTAAAACTTATTTCTAATTACTATATAACTTGTTAGTTATTAATTTATATTTTTTTATTTAACTAACTTTATGTATTATATTCAAATTCGAACTTGCATTTTTCTCGATCTTCTAACTGTTCGAATTACTTTAAGTTTGAGGGTTTGAAGTATGAGAGAACCCATCCCTGCATTAAATGGATAAACCACATTTATTAACTATGTAAATTCTATATTAATATATGTTTTTCAAATAGTTATAAATTCCAAAATAATCATGATAGATAATTTTATTATAATTTCACTGTATCCTCTCTATATCTTTAGTTTTCATAAGTTATGTAACATAATACAATTTGAGTATTAATTTTGATTATAATTTTATAATTAAAAATAAATGATTCTTATATAGAGGTGAAGTTATTAAAATACCTACCAATTCCACTGGTGATCATAATTTTGCTATGAACTATTAAAGATTTTCGATTGGCTATTGTCATTTTCATTAATTTATAGTTCTTGTTCATAGTATAATTTTCCTAGAAAATAAATATTATCATAAAGTACAGTAAAATGCAGTGGCGCTGAACTACAAAAAATGCAGTATGACGAATATCAAATTTTAATAGTACCTACCCACTTACTAATTGTTGTAAATGGTGGAGGGACTGAAACCCTAGCATAATATTGTATTCAAAATTGATATTAATACATATTAATCTATTATTATTAATCACTCTATCTATTCTCATATTGTGACTCATCAATAATTTATGATTTATCCGATAATGGTGTTCACTTTATATTTACATAAAATTTAATTTCACCATATCGCACTATCGTTATCGTATTATCTGCGTTAATATTATGGTCTACCGTCTTCTGGCTTGTATCGACGTAATCAGCGTATCACAACTGATGTGCTTTTATGTAATTATGTTGAATATTAAATAGTTTAATACTTTCATAATACATTTTACACGTTGGGCTATGTTTACTAAGGTATGTATTACATACCCAGCACCCAGTACCCACACACCACATAATTCATTATGGCAGTCGCCATACTTAGATATAGGAATCGGCGCCACTGGTAAAATGTTAAACAATGTTTATATATTATATTTACAAAAATTAGTGTTTTTGTGTATATCAGATAATGACTATACAATTGCCATTTTGTCTAAAATATTACATAGTTTAGTAAAAAAGCTATTGCATTTTCATTATTTAATTAAATTTATTTCATTATTTTATTGAACATAAACCAAATAAAACTTAAAAAAAAAAAATGTAATATACTTATAGAAAACACTTGAAACAGTCTTACTTGTAATAGTATTCATTCTTTTTCAGAATACATTTTTGTCACTTTATTTTTGTTATTGGCTAAGCCATTTTAAAAAAAAAAAAATTCTTGGCATATCAATAATATAATCATGTTAAAACAAATAATATTAATAGGTAACATTCAAGAATAATTAAACAAAATATTTTTTATTAAATTAACTGATTAAAAAACCAGTTTTTTAATCAAATCAGTGTTAATCAAATTAATTAAATTAATCAAATGAATTGTTGACATATATTAAATTTATAACAAATTAATTTTTATAGTACACTAATGGTAATATCAATGATGTGTGTAAGTATAAAAAAGAAAACCTTACTTATATTTGAAAATAATTACCAAAATAATATTTTTACAAGTGTACTTACATTCTGCTAAATTACCAATTTTACATATAAATTGATAAAAAATAATTTTTTTTTATATTTTTTGAATTTAATAATTATATTATTTATTCTTAATAGAGTATCTAATTTTTAAAATTTGTGATCCAAATATCATAAAAATAAATTCTTTAAAAAGTATTTAATATATTATAACTTCATTAAGAATTTTTTTTTTTAAATGAATAACATTTGAGAGAAAAAAACTAATATATAATAAACTAGTAAGAAGTGTTTTGTGTGATTTATTAGTTACTTTTTTGTATGTAATATATTGTATTTATATATATTTTTTAGATTTGTTGGTTAATTTTTGATGCTCAACTATCCCTGAGTGCTCCAACCACCAAGTGATAAAAATGGTTGCCGACATTTGCCCAAACCCACAAAGCGTGGGTCGAGAATTTGTCCGTCAGTATTATACCATGTTGAATCAATCGCCTCATTACTTACATAGGTAATATAAAATATACTTAAAGTATTAAATTCAGTAAAGGTATTAATATATTAGGAGATGTTTATTTTAGTATTCATATATATAATTTTTAATGTATCAATAAATACTTTCCTGGTATAATTGATGTTGATTTCTCTAGTTTGATTAACGAACAACATTTATTTAGTTCAACAAAATAATATTTAACCCATCAAGAAAGAGAAAAGATTATTTTAATTTTTTAAAAAATGTTTTGAGTTATTTTTAATATTGATTATACCCATAAATATTACTCACCCTCAAACATTTTTTTTATCCCTCCAATTACTCAAAAATAAGTGAGCCCATATGGAACCACTAGATGAATAGAGGAGCAAACGTAAAAAAATTACAATCACATGAAATAATTTTTTTTTAATCTTAGTGTAATTGGAAATCATATTGCAACAGTAAATAATATTTTATTCAGCTTTTAGGCTTAAATAAATAGGTAATGAATAATATTAGGTATTATACATATGACATAAAAACATTTCTTATTATGATATATTTTACATCAAACAAATTATAAAAATAAAATTATGTGTGAAATGGTATGAAACATGATATGCAAAGACCTTTATCACATTTATTACACATTGTTCTTCCTCTTCCGTTGAAATTCTCATAAGAACACTGTCTTCTTTTACCATCTGGTACATTCGCTACATAGTGTTGTATACCATCTTGATATATATCTGTATTTACTACTCTAGATCTCCCCTTTGTTTTTGGTAAATCCTGATATTTCAGCAAATTAGTTGTAACTATGTTTCTTTTAAATTCTAGTTGAGACATCTTATCTTTCATGTGAGAATGCTGGTGTAATATCCATGCATTTTGTATAGAAATGTCAATCAGCCAAGTATAAAAGCACTACCACCACTTTTCTCCTCTGATACTAATACGATATCGATTTATATTTTCGTCCATTAAATCTGTTTTACCCATATTATTATTATAAGTAGAAACAGCTAATGGACGGGGAACTTGCACAATTTTTTTTTCATGATGTGAAAATCTCTACCGAATTTTTCGGATTGACTCCATATCTAGTTGAGGCCATAGTTATAACCGCATTATCTACCCAACGGACATATTGTATACCATTATTTTTATCAAAAGCACTAAATGTTGACCCTCTTTCCATTTTACTTGCAATTTTTTTTTATCAGGAATAGGTATGTCTTTAGAAATCCTATTTTCTCGAATTGTTCCAGTTCTGTAATAACCATTTTCTTTTAAAAATAATAATGTCTTAACATTTGTAAACAAATTATCAAAAAAAAAAAAAAATGAATATAGTAATTTATTTTTAGAAGATGGTTGATCTTTCAACATGTAATAAAAAGGTGTTGTTGATTTTCCAAAATATTTTTCTGCATCATAACTAGAAAAAACCTAACCTTGATATATTTCAAAATTTACCAAGTAGCCATTTTGCGAATTTATGCACCATGGTTTGAATCCGAATCTAATTGGCTTTCCTTTTATAAACTGTTTTGAACTATGGCGTCCAAAATATTTAATCATAGTTTCATCATAATTCAAAAACTCCAATGGTACAAAATATTAAATGAATTTATTCATCAGAGAACGCAATTTAAATAATTTGTCATGATTCATATCCTTATTGTTTCCACAATGCATTATCCTTGCAATTTCTATAAATCTATCTCGTCGCATAGCATTTCTTACCATATAATTAGCCATATCATCATTTCCGTCCCAATAGCATTCACGACCCGGTAAAACGTTATATCCAAATATAATAAGTATAATCAAAAAACATTGTAATTCATTACGAGAAATATTTCTTATATTATAATTTTTAGATAAGGAGTATAAGGTTAATTCATATATAATAAAATCTATATCATCAGTAAAAAATAATTCAAAAAGTTGAACAGGTGATAATTGAGAATATTTTTCAAATGTTTGAGATGGAAATATATTATTATATTCTAAATGTCCTTTTTTAAAAAAAATATGATTTTTGTATTTCAGGAAATGTAAAATTATCATTATCTAGTTGTTATGATTCCACATTATCATAAAAATTTTCTTCAGTTGTACTAACCTGTTCTTCTGACGCAAATGCAATGTCTACAAAAGCTCTTAATTGATTACCACTCAAATTATCAACTAAACCACCCAGGGGTGGATCCAGAGTCAGGGAACTGTTGGTCAAGCCATTTCAAGAGACTATTTATTAGGGATGAAACTGAATTAGAAATGAATATCTTGTAAAAAAAAAAAAACAATATGCTCATAAAAGTGTATAAGTATATTTATATTACATTTTAGAATTAGTGATACCACCGATAATGACTTATTAAAGATTAATAAATATAATCTAATTTTATCAGCGCAACAAACGTACAGAATAAAATATGATTTACTTAACTTTCTACTAAAACGATATAATTTAAAATATAAATTATGAATTGGAAAAATTTTAAATTTTGAATATACATGGCATTCATTTTTCAAGTAACTCCGATGGGCCAACTGTCCAAGAGTCCAAATCAAGGTCTAAAAAGAGAAAAAAATTTTCAAGAGGCCACATTATGTCAATAAATATTAACTATGGGTCAGTTGACTCCCTGAACCCTCCCCTAGATCCGCCCCTGAAACCACCTGTATCTTCGTCTGTCAATATATTAGGTTTAGGTGGCTGTATATATACATTTTCATTCATAACTTCTTCATTTTCGTCAAGCATAATGTGCAATGCTTCATCTAATGTAAAACCACGCCTAAAACATAATACAACAATATTTATATAAACTACATTCTATTGGTCTAGAGGTCCCATATGGGTACGAGCCTAAATATGAACATAATACAACAAAAATATGTTTTGTAATATTATAATAAATGAATAAATATATTCTCACACATATATTGAATATATTATCAACAATAAACGATAAAAAAATTATAAATGAAAGCAGTAAATTACCTACTCGTGAGAGATATCCATGTTTTTCAACAATCAATAAAACACCAATGACCAATTAGTTATCATAGCTCACAAGTAAATTGGTTTATTTATAAAAATGGAAAAGATATCTAAATATAACTATAAATGGTTCCATATGGAGCTGTTAGCCGTTGATAGGTTAATAATAATTTTAAGAATAAATATATCATATTAATTATTTTGCATAAATGGAATTCTCAAATAAAAAAAATTGAATTAGATACAACTTGTTCAACCATTTCCAATCACTTGCTTTGTGGTTATATAAGCTTACTATGTGATTTTATCTACAATCTAAAGAACTAATGACATATCTTTTAATTTAATTTTTAATTACAAACCAGTAAATAGTTGTAAGGAGCTTATCCTTTTAGTTATTTTATTCAATAATGCTTACAGGTATCTATAATTTAGATAAAATATAATAGTTACACCTCAAAACAACTAAATCATGTTAACTAGTGAATCATAAATAGTTGGAGTAATAGAAAAATACTTAATATTTATTGTGTTTAAGTTTTTGTAGTAATTGTGTTTGATTTGAAATGTTGTAATACTTAAAATTTCATGTCATATATTTTATTAATAACACTTTAATAATTTTTAGATTTAATTTATTAAATTTTATATTTATTTAATTTAGATTCTATAGTAGTGACTCATACTTTGTACATGGCGGTTTGGAATCCTATAGTCGGGATATGACTCCTAGTATTGGTCAAAAAGAAATTCATAAACGTGTTCAAGAATTAAATTTCCGTGATTGTCATGCAAAGATTCTGCAAGTTGATTCACAGAACACACTGGGAAATGGTGTTGTGGTTCATGTTACTGGTGAACTATCCAATTGTGGTCAACCAATGCGTCGTTTTGCACAAACATTTGTATTAGCTGCTCAGTCACCTAAAAAGTATTATGTTCACAATGATATTTTTCGTTATCAGGTAATTTAATAATTTATTTTTGTAACTAAATTTTCTTCATTCAATTAATATAATACATTTTAGGATGTAATGTTGAATGAAGATTTTGACAATGAAGAAGTTGATTCTGGACAGTCTGATGGTGAAGAAAATGGAGAAGTTGAGCAAGCCCCAGTTATTCAACAGCCCCAACATCAAGTAAATTACTACAATACTCCAACTCAGGCACAGTCTTTAAATGGAGTTGCTATGAATGTAATACCTACTACAGTACCAGTACAACAACAAATGCCCCCTGAGCAAATTCCAGTTCAAGTTCAACAACATATCGTGAGTGGTTTGTTCTATTATTTAGTTGAAAACTTATGTATTTAAATTTTGCATTTTATATTTTTATGTGATTCATGAAAAAAATGGGAGTGGATGGTCTTTGAAAAAAGAAAATTACTATAGTAAAATGTCCATATTGCTGTAATTTTTATAAAAAAGGCAAATTAAATAAAAAAATAATTTAAAAAAATACCCATTCATTAAACATATAATAATAATATGAATTATGAAGTACATAAATATAAACATTTATATAGGCAGTGCATTTTTCAATATTTTCTGGCTGTTTAAAATATTGGTGGGTGATCCTATGAAATCGGTAATTCAAGTAGAAAAGATTTCCCACCACCACTTTTATGTTCAAGTAATTTATGTAATATAAATTTATTTACAAAATATGTCATATGTTATAGCCTACTGTTACTGCTCCTGTTCAAAATTTGGCTCCAACTGCAATGCCTCCTGCTAACAATGTTTCTAGAACTCAACCTACATATGCCCAAAACAACCAAATATCAGCTGAACCTCCTAAAGTTCAACATCAAGAAGAATCTGTTAATCATCATGTTGACACGAAAGAAAATCAAGAACCTATTAAGAAGGATGTACCTATTACTGAAGGTATGAAATTAGTAAGAGTAGTTAGTTGTATATACTCATATGAAATAACATACTGTCTGCCTTAATTGCAAAGGTTGTCCAAGATAATACATTTTAAAGAAAAAGAAAAAATATTATTATTTTACTTTCCTTAATTTACTAATGTTTTTTGTCCAATATTGTAAATTATATGGAATTGTGGAAATACTTATACAACTTTTTTGAAGTCTTGTCATATAACAAAGATATGCTTTGATTTTTTATGTATCAATTGTATGGATGGTAAAATTATTCAAATTATGATTTGAAAATATAATTGCATTAAATAATAGATTTTTTTTCTTTTCCTTTTTATAAAAATATAATCATAAATTAGAGGTGCAACCTTTGTGATTCAAGTTTAAAATATGTGAAACATTTTTGATGGTCATCACAATATTTTTTTAAAACAAAATATTTATATTATAAATTTATAATTTCACCTTTTTATTGGATTTTCATTTTTAGGAATCATTAAAAGTTAATTAAAGATAATGATTTTAACAAGTATATATATATATTTGTCTCGTAATTAATTTTTTTTTTCAATTAATTTTAGCTATTTCACCTGGAGATCAACCAAAACCATTGTATGCACAACTGTTCAAATCTGGTGGACGATCGTCTGAAACTCACATTGAGGCCCCTCAATCAGTTTCAGTACCAACACAAAATTACTCATCACCGTCTTTACCGAAATCGACTTCACCGGTATGTTTATTTTTTAATATATATTAATAATTTGTTCTTTATTATGAAACACATTTATATTTTTAGGTTCGAAATAATGATTACTCAAACAACACCTTTTCTAATAATCAATATGAACAGAGAAATAATGTAAATAGAAACATGAGGAACAACAGCAATTACAATAGAGGTGGAATGAGTGGAAGAAATATGAATGAAAGGCCAAATAGAAATACGTTCAATAATCGTGACAATGGTTTGTATTTTAATTTTTTTATAATTTTTCTGATAAGTTTTACAAAATGAATAAAAATCTTGAATTTTGAAGGGGTGAAAAATTATTAAATTATATTAAATCAGATATAAATATTTATAAACTAAATTTTTAACTAAACAATTAAATGTGTGTACTTTTGATTATGATGTTTGAACTTTCTTAAAATATATTTTTGCATTATTTTTATTAATTTTAAGATTTTTCTGAAGTTATGGTTTGAAAGATTTTTAAGTTTACCTTAAGCTAATATTACAGTAGTTAAATTGGTTAATCTACATATTAATTGATATAAAGTATGAAATTCAAATAAAATAATATTTGTTAATCACCTGAAGATGAGCCAGTGTAATACCAGCTTCAGAATGATACATAGGGGATGACTGGAATGATATGGGAATGAATTGAGATGATTGTAAAATTGTTTCTGAGATGAAATGGTTCTAACAGCCAAATTACCTCTCTCCCCCCTCACAAAATCAATCAGCTTATAGGTCTCCACACACTTTCGCGTGCTGGCTGTAGCGATAAAATTGTACCCACATATTGTAATGGGAGCCCCCACGCACTGCAGTAGTAATTCGACTGTGTGATATTTTTAAAAAAAAACAACATGCTTGTTTTTTTTTTTTTTTTTTACATGGTATCAAAAACTAGGGTAGCACTGACCTAGGTTATTTTACCCCTAGTTTCCAAGTTCATGCTTATATTTAGTTTAGTCATAACTGATTTGTGATTAGTATTATGATTAACGTGTACAGTGTACAGTAAGTATAATATATTATGAATATAATATGGATATACCTATAATATGTATAATAGTAAAAGTACAATAGGTCAATACATAATATTTAAGCAGTTAATAGCTCAAAAGAAAGAGCATTATCCACTGAATATTTTTAGACCTGTGTCAAAAGCCTACGTTAATTAGAACTCTAGTTAAAGAGGTTTGAGTGAAGGAAAATATTGAAAAATTGAATGTAAAGTTGATTGTTCACGCTTAACATTCTTCAAGCTCAATGAATTTAAGCAGTTAATAGCTCAAAAGAAAGAGTTTAATTCACTGAATGTTCTGAGAGTAAAACTATCAAGATCCGTTCATTAGAAGAGGAGCTATGAGAATTTGAATGTTGCTTGAGTGAATGTGTTCCATAAGAAATGTACAGGGAAGAATCACGTTGGTAGGAGTTGAGTAAATTTCAATATATATTGATGACATATCTGTGTTTAAATACCTTTCATTTAAAAAAAAAATGAAGAAAATCGGCCGGATAGAATGGCTAGACTGACTTCAGTTTCATAAATTTTTTTAATATATAACTAAATATATAATATATTAATATATATATTTTTTAATATTTACCTGATAATAAAATTACAATTTTTTTTTATTTTGAATATAAAAATATTTATGTTTATTTTTTAAAGGATACAATGGTGGCCCTGGAAATGATATCAGGATTAACAGAGGTAACCAATCTGGATCTTATAATGGTATGTTCCAATCCGATGATCAACAGTTGTTTATTGGAAAAATACCTCCAGAAGTTCAAGAAAGTGATTTAAGGGTATGTTAACTGAAAATCTTTGAATCATTAAAAAATTTAACTATTATTAAATATTTAATACTTTAGAACTTGTTTGAAAAGTTTGGTAATTTATTGGATGTACGGATAATGAAAGGAGGCAGCAAAACTGGAGATCCGTCTATGAATGGCAATTTTGGTTTTGTTATTTTTGAAAATGTAGATACGGCTCATAAAGTACTAAAAAATCGAGTAAGTACTAAGTTGGGATTCCATGGTGCGTGACTCCTGGATTGGTGTTGCTTGGCGCGGCTTGTGGCCATCTGAAAATTTGTGATTTTTGGTATCCAAGTCAAAAAATTTTCATTGTTCGGCTCGCCAAAATATGCTGAGCAATTATCTGTGAGCTATAGCGAGCTATGCTTGGCTCATTTAGTGACGTATGTGCAATTAGAAAACCACGAGCCTTGAGTTGAGCCACACGCCTTGGGATCCCAGCTTTACATTTTAAAGAAATATTTATCAAAAACATGATTTTAACTAACTTTCACGTTTATATTTATAAATGGTTTATATGAATATTTTAATTCTAGAGTTATATAAATTCTATTTTAAAATATTTATTATTACTATTTTGATTGATATTTGAATAAATCTTCAAAGTCTTGAAAGAAAAATAAATTTTCGAGTTTAATTGAAAAACACTTATGTTGTTAATACGATTAATTAATATGAATCATTATTTTTTATTTAGCCTATAATGTTTCCTGATGAAAATGGTATCAAGTTGAATGTAGAAGAAAAGAAAAACAAGTCCAGAAGTTCAATGGTAAATTCTGATGGTGGCAGCAGTGGTGGTGGCGGTTTAGGCCGTGGTGGTATGCGTACTAGTAACAATCGTGGCGGTTTCAATAGGAACCAGAATGATGGACCCAGAAACAACTTTAGGCGTCAAAATTAAAATAATAATAATAATAATAATAATTAAAAAAAAGTAAAGGATAATTAAAAAAAAAAAAGAACTACAATGAATATTTGAGGTGACCAGAAAAATCCCTAATAAAGACGCTGTTTGGAATTTAAGAAAGACTACAATTTTATACTGTTTTTTTCTAGTTAGCTTAAGTTTTATTTCCCTGCATTTAAGATCATCTTCCTATTAAAGTATATTGTATGTGTATCCATTTTTATAGTGTTTAAAATAATGAATGTCCATAATATAATTTATAAAATCATATGGTATGTATTAAATCACAAACCTAGTCAAACAAGTTTTTCAATATTTTTATTAAATTGTTCAGTTCATAAATACTTTTAATTTTAATTTATATAGATAAATTCTTCATCTAAATTAAAAATCATTATTTGTTTTGTAAAAATATATATTTTATTACACAGAATGATTAAAAAATAAACTTTTTTATACACAGTAAAATAATATTTAATCATTCTGTTTTACAAATACACAAATGATGTTATTTATTTTCAACCTAATCCAAACTATTTTAACCGTATCTTATTATTATTATTATTATTATTATTATTTTATGGAATATGCTAAAACTTGTAATTTAGTTGTATTTATTTGTACAGAAGTGCTGAATTAAAGCAACAACGCTTAAGTACAATGCCTGTTTATGTAATTTTGAGACTAAAAATCTTATTTTTAGCAGGGCTTCCTTGATAGGAATTACAATGAATTGTTTATGATATTAATATAATATATTATGATTTATACCTACACCCTTCATTTTTTTTAAATATACATTTCTTTTACTTTTTATTTTTAAATTTTATTTTTTGTGCAAAAGAGAATGTTCACTTTAACACAAAAAGAATAAAATAAAAAAACAAATATTTTTTACTTCCTAAATTTGAATTTTTTCCTTTTATTGTTTAAAATTTTTAGTGAAACTTATATTTAGGTGAGTAGTGTGATACAATATTTCTTTTTTTTAATGGTTTAATTTTAGATAATTTGTTTTCTTTTCTTATCAAAACAGTTATAATTAATAATTATATTGCTAAATAATAATAATTTTATGTAATAGTCACAATTGTCATGATTAAATTTTGAAATTTAATTTGACCATTTATTAACATTTATTGAAAATGTTTTCATATTTAAATTTAAAAAATATGCATAGTTAATATAATTCATTAATTTTTTTAATATTAATTTATTTAATGATGGGTTCATCATGTATTGATATAAAAATTTGTATTGAAGTTTTTATGTTTTAATATTGATTTCAGAGTGTTTTATTTAATTTTGTTATATCTGAGCGCACGTCAGTGTCTCGAGCATGTTCCAGCAATGCCAGTGTATTTTTATATGAACCAATTCGCCCGTTTATTTTAATCCATAGATCTCTGTTCCCTCTTGAGATAACTTTTGAAATTTAAAACACAGATTTATCTCATGTAGCTTAGGACGATGTAAGAAAATGGGCCCTTAATATTGTACTATTTCGAAATTGGGAGATTTCAAAATTTGCAATTTTGTTACTAACTCACTCACTAATCATTAAAATTATAAGACATTTCCCGTATACGTAGAAACGTGAAATTTGGCACAAAGGTAGGGTTTACAGTGTAATTAAAGGGAAAAATCTAAAAATTGAATTTTTTTTTCAAAATTAATGACGCTTTAGTGTATTTCTAAACATATGAAGTGGCGCGAATAGCACGCATAAAATTTTTCTTTCAGGCAGCATTACAATATGGTAATAAGTAGAGACCGGATTTATATGCCTTTAAAAAGTGTGGAATACGCAAAGAAAAAGTGCCTAAATATGCATTATGTAACACTTTATAAAATGTGTTTTTTTTTTTAGACCACACATACCAAATCCAATTATAAATATTTTATCAAAAACAAAAAAAAAATGATAATATCTACTGCTTTATATTTCAAATCATTTAAATCAATCTAAAACTTTAAGGAAATTTAAAAACGAGAATACAAATAAAAAATAAATATTTTAGATTATTTGAAGTTACTACTCACAAAAACGAATAGAAAACTTAAAAATATAAAAAAAAATTGTAATTTTTTAAAAATCCCCATTAAATATGCACGTTATATGCATTTATGAACAATTATACAATAACCCTCGAAATATGCAAAATATACAATGTATAATTTGGTGTTTAAATTCAGTGTGATATGAATCGTGGACATTTTAAACTTCCATAGACATGTATACACTTAATACAAACATACAATGCATATAAATCCGGCTCTAGTAATAAGAAATTATAGTTGACATATATATATATATATATTTATAAAACATAATAATGTTAGTATAACAATATAATAATATTTATTAGTAAATTTATTTTATTCAATTATAAAATATAGTATAATTATTAAAATACAGAATATTTTAATAATATTTGTCGATATACGGACGATAATTTTACGTAGTAACGTCATAATAAAACATTGATGAATGTATTAACTATCTATTAACTGATCAATGTATGACATAGAACGGATTCCGACTAAGTTCCAAGTCATTATCCGTTAACCGTTAATCGATCATCAGTTTCTATCAATAGACATTCAGAAAATATTTTCTTACCCAGAAAACTTACGTACGTGAAGTTGGCCCACCCTTTTTCACGGATTAACTTGAAACTTATACCAATATTTTGCGAGTTATTTGCGAGAATTTGCAAGTTTATTTTCAAAATTTGTGAGTAAGCCGTTTGCGAATTATAATTAAAAAACAGAAGGGTGGGCCAACTTCACGTAGCCTCTTCAAGTCGCCCTAGAACTTCAAAACCGATACCAAACGATGCGTCTTTATTTGCGAGAATTTGTGAGTCCATTTTCAAAATTTGCGAGTTCACCCCTTACCCGCAAATTCCATTTTCCTACCGTGAAGTTAGCCCACCCAAGTCGTCCTAGAATTTCGAAATTGATACCAAACGATGCGTCTTTACTTGCGAGAATTTGCGAGTTCACCCCTTACCTGCAAATTCCATTTTCCTACCGTGAAGTCAGCACACTTAACACGCCCTAGAATTTCAATGGCCCGTTTTTAAAGGAAACAAAGTAATAACCGGTTGTAGATAAGATCTTTTGTCACCACAGCTAGGTTGCAAAAAAATCAGTTTTTTTTAAAAAAAAAACATAAATTTATTTGTTTAAACGTTTTATTTGTTCAAAACAATAATTTTTATGTTTTAAACAGTTTTTAATTGTTATTTTATTCGTAAGTTTTAAACATTGTTTAAAACAATTTTTTTTTTATTTAAAACTAAATTTATAAAAATATTTTCCCTAAATGAGATTATTACTCTCAGATTTTTAACCAAAGTACAGTACAGGTGAAAGGTGATTTTATATAGATACTGTGATTTTTGAATAGTTCTAAAAAATTATTAAAAACCATTGTTTCTACCTATTATTTTACTTTTTTAATACAATTTATAAAATAAAATAATAATATCCTTTATTTATATAAAGAATAAATTATCATACTATTTTAAATATGTTTGAACGGTCATTTTTACATTTTCCACTGTTGTTATATTATAAATTTACCTACCTAAAAATTATGATTTACGACTTGCGAGTATGTAACTTATGACTTATTAGTTGTAGACACGTCTTTCAATTATAATTATGGTCTATAGCAACTCAATAGAACCTTCCGGAGGACACATGTTTTTTTCCAATTAAAGACACTTCATAATACAATGATTTGATATAATTTTAAATTTGTTATCCAAATAAAGAGCTATATTTAGTTTTATCTATTGAAAACTATTTTGATTTAATCGGTCGATTTTTAGCTGTTTATTTTTCGTCATTTGTTTTAACGTGTTATGTCGCGGTTGTGCAACTGATGTAACTTTATTATTTTAATTTTATATTGTGTTGAAAATAAAATGGCAAATTCAAAGGTAAGATTCAATATTTATTTTTTAAATTATTGTTTATTTTATTCTAATTGATTAATAATTTTTTTGCTCTCTACACAAAAATAATGTACACTTATTACTAAGTACAGTGATCCCTCATTATCCGCGGTTGGGTCCACAATAACATATTATTAAAACGATTGCCATTGCGATAACCTCGTTCTGCTAATCACCAATGCACCGGCGCGATGGCAGAACCAGTTCTCCAATAATAGATATCACAGAATTACTTAATTTATAATATATTAAAAATATAATAAAATAGTAACTTCTTTTTATTTTAGCTATACCATAAACAGACACGAATGAACTACTACAGCTGATTTCTAAAATTTTCATTTACAAAATTACACCTATTTTTTATCTTTGAGAGTTTATTTATAGGTTTTTTAATTATGACAATATTTAGCCCAGTTCCATTTGGGTATAATATAATATAAAATAAACAGATTGAGAACAATGCGGGCACTATAATGGCGGCAACGATTCGTGGAAGAAGGTTACTTCCACACGCGCATGCACAATTCAAAATACACTGTTGCGAGGAATATGATTTGGTTCTGTTTTTTTCGAAAAGAAACAATTTTTTGCCAATCATACTGTTTTCCTTTATCATCAGATAGAACTTCTAAAAACATTTGAATTAGTCATGAAGTTTACTTGAAATCGACTTTTTTACATTTTAAAATTATTTTATCAATTTCATATTATTTACATTATAAATTTATTATTATTTTAAATTTTAAAATCAGTTTTTTAAGGGTAAAAAAATAATAATTCAAAGAAGTAAAATTGTCGTTTTCAAGTCAACTTCATGACGAATTCAAGTGAAAAAGGGTGGGCTAACTTCACGTACGTAGAAAACTTCCAAATTTGCACATATCGTATTCTTATTTTCTCCAATTTACTAGGTTTTTCCTTGTCTTAACGATCCCTAATTTCAACCAATTAAGTGTTTACCATGCCTCGTACTTAATGTTTTGTCCTGACAGTAGGCTCTTCATTGCTCGTCTCCATTTCATTTGCTATATTCCATATTCTGTTTTTTTTTTAAAAAATCTTACTATATGATTTTCTATTGTACTATGTATAAAGCGTTGTCTCAATTTGATGGGTTTACTCACTAACTAGTGATGAAAAATAATTAACAATTTCTAAGCTCTTTATATTCTTCAAATGAATTTTAAAAAAAATATCTTACAACAACTGATTTAAGACCTAGATTAACTCTATTATTAGACGATTCAGATGTGGGTGTTATAAAGTAATTTATTACAATTCCCGACTCCCTCAGACTGAGATAATAAAATATAACTATAAAGCCGTGTACACGCATCGTACTTAGCATTTAAATGTAATGGAACAGAGTTCGTGCTCGTTTGAATACAGTGGCGTATTTAAGATTTTTCCGCCTATAGGCACTTTCCAATTTGCCGCCTCCCCCCTCCATCATTCCTAAAATTATTTATAAAACATATTTAAATATACAATTTATTATATTATAATATTATATTAAAAAATATACATTATTAATGAACATTAAATTACAAATATTAAAACTTTAAATTTTTTCTTCTACTTTTTTCCTCGGCAAATGCATCAATTAAATCATCGCAATTTAAAGTCGACAGTAAATTCGCTTCGATATTCAATATAGTCAAACTATTGAGTTTTTCACTGCCCATAGTCGATCTTAAATAATTTTTGATTCGTTTAAGACATGAAAAAGAACGCTCAGTAGTACAGTTAGAAGTTGGAGTACAAACATATATTCTAAGTGCTATATCTATATTAGGATACACGTCCGTAAGAGAATCTTCTCGTAATAATTTACACATTTGTAGAGGAGAAATGCAATTAATTTGTTTATTTGAAGATTCCAAATAGGATTTAAAATGTATACATTCTGTTGAAAATGCTTTTTTAATATCATCTTTGTAACATTCTTGTAACTTATTGGCAAATTCTATTATTTCCGAAACACTTAAAGAAATAAGCTTGTGGAGTACGATAAATTTTGTGTAGTAAAAATCATAAGCCTGTCGCCATTTTTCTAATTCACTTGCTATTCGATCAATAACCACATAAAATGTAAATATTTTAAACTTTCCACGACCATTCATTGATGTATCAGTATCGCTTTTTTTATCATAAAATACTTTCCTTTTTTTTTAGACGGGACTTTCCATCTTGATATAATTCAATTCCTGACATAGTTTTTGCTTGTTCTTCAAAATAGTCAAATCTATCCCGAGTTTCTCGAATAAGATTAATAAGCGATGTATATAACTTTGAAGCAGTACCAATATCAATTGCAGTACCTTGTAAAGTTTTGTTAGTTATATTAAACTGTTCTAATACATATGTCCAAAACACGGTCAAAAATGCGGTTTCCAAAGATTGTAAACTTTTAAAAAGACCTTTGGCTTCGTTTCTGGTAATGCATTTTTCGTTTTCATTATTTTTAATAAGTGATAATGAGTTTATTATTTCTGACCATGATGCATTTAAAGCTCTACATGCATCCGCGCGAGCTGACCATCTAGTTATTGATAAGGATTTAAGTGTGTATGAATTTTGCTTCATATTGTCGTGTAAAATATTCCATCTATGAGTAAATGCTGTGAAAAAATTGTAAAGTTGTTGAATAAGTCCAAAAAATGAAGATGCATCACTACAACATTCTGCGGCAGATGTTCCTACTAGATTTAAAGAGTGTGCAGCGCATGGTACAAAATAAGCTAAGGGGTTTAATACTTTTATTCGGGCCTGCAAACCTGTATAAATGCCGGATATATTACTGGCGTTATCGTATGCCTGTCCTCGACAATTAGCAATATCAATGTTATGAACCTTTAAAATATTTAAAATAGCATCTACTAATTGTTCAGCTTTGTGTCCTGTATTAGGAGTGAAACATAAAAAACGTTCAATAGGTTAGCCGTTATGCTGTACATATCTCACCATAAAAGAAAGTTGGTCGACATGAGAGATATCTGGGGTAGAATCTACGCTTATTGAAAAGTATTTAGATTTCATTAACTCTTGTATTATAGTATTTTTCATTTTTTTCGTAATTAATTGTATAAACTCATCACAAATACCGTGTGATAAATAAGAAGTTGTACCGCTTCCTTTATTACTAAAACGTGCAATATGATCTGCTAAAAATTAATCGAATTGATTTAATAATTCTAAAAACATCATATAGTTTCCATTGTGATTATAACCAAAAATAGAATTATGACCACGTAACGGTAATCCACGAGAAGTTAGTGATTTTATTGTAGCAACTACTCTTTTCAAAACATTTCTCCAGTATATAGTCTCTTCCTGTAGTTGTAGTACTAAACTGTTATCAATTTTTCCGGGTTCTTTACCTCGCAATTATATGTTATAATTGAATTTTTATGTTCTTGACTATTTTCATGCCAATTGAAACGCTGATTGGCATTTTTCCAGTCATTATAACCCTCTGTTACAAGTTGAATTTTGTTTAAACTTTTTTCAAATAAACGACAAGGCCCACAAAATACTACACCTTTACTTTTAGAATATACAAGCTATGAACGTAATGCAAGTTCACCATTTAACATTTTCCTCTGAAAAACTTTTGTTAAATACCGTGTTTTGTCATTATATTTTCGACCGGAATAAGAAAAATCATCGGTTAGATTTTGATTTAAGCCATGTTTTGCTACATAGTTACGAAAAGATTCATTAATTAACCATTTATCGGGATCGGTTTCAAAAAAAATTGGAAGTAAATGTTCGGATTTATTGAAATTTTTTTCTGTGTCTACATTTTTTCAGAATTATTATCAATAATTGTATTTATTTCAACTTGTTGGGTTTCTACTTCTATGCTTTCACCACTATTCGAATCAGGATTTTTTTTTTAAATACGTATGCAATTTTGGAGTTTTATTTAAAATATTTTTTTCTTTTTCGTTTTTTAATTTCGACAATCTTTTGTACTCATGTCCACTTAATCTTTTCCTACCATCAGCCATTGTTACAACTTATAACCTAGTTTAATTAAAATAAAATCTCTAAGAAAATTTACGTACAAAATAATTTTATAATAATTAAGTTATAAATTCACAAATTACCTGTCGTCAAGATTTAAAAATTATACTGCCCGTGTATCGTCCATGTGTCCACTGTCCAACAATTCAGTAATGACTAATGCAGTTTATATAAAATTGAATACCTATTATTATTAAAAGAATTGGAATAAAAGTTAAAGACGGGCGGCTCCATAACGATAAGCGGGTATTTCCCTGTCATTATATAACTATAAACTACGCTGTTTGTCTGTCTACCGAACCCGTATTGAATGCGCGTATGTTTTGTTATCTATGTGCTCGTACTATGTTGCGTATGTGTATAATATAGTAGGTACATGTAGAAAGATGTTTAATTTTGTGCGAACAAAAAATTAGTTATAAGTTTGATTTCATTAAATGAAAAATACTTATTGTAATTTTGTAAAAAAAATTAATTAAAATTGCCGCCCTCCAAATGTTGCCGCTCTAGGCCCGGGACTATAGGGCCTGTGCTTAAATACGCCCCTGTTTGAATGTTACATGTTACAAACATTCGGGGCGAGCACTACTCTGTATCGGTTGTTCGCTGATCTATCCATCAGTTATTACCAGGGGTGGATAGGGCCGCCGGGACACCGGGATTTTCCCGGTAGGCTGCTACTTATATTGATAAAAATGGGCCGATGAAAAATATTACTACTAATACTATTATACATATACATATATACAAATTAAAGTAAATAAATATAATACTGATAATATATATATATTTAAATCTAGCTTAAATCTATAAATATCATAGTAAATTCCTTTAAAATGAAGAAGAAAAAAAGTATTTACAGAGGGGTTACATAATTTTAAATGTAATTTTTTTACGTATTATTTTAATTGAATGATCAAAAATTAAAAATTAAAATTTTATTCAAAATTTCGAGTGCAATTTTTTTTCTTTAATGCATATTTTAACATATTAGTGTTTAACATATACTTGTGCATGTTAAAGATCTTTTAGCGCATATTTGATTGGTTTTTAATGCATATAATTCCGTGCTATAATGATAACTGATTGTTCATATTTAAATTATCACATATAGTCACTAATAAAATCCCACGGCTAAGTTGATTACTGATATATTATGTTTTTCCACAATAATTATACGCGAACCATGTAAATAGTATAATATTTCTAAAATATTATATAACCAGGTATGCTTCAAAACGAATTAAAAAGAAAAGGAGGTGCAAAAAATAAAAGAGATAAAAATCGTAAAGTTGTTAGAAGAGAGCGAAACAAGTGTAAATTTGGATAGTATAATATATATTATTATTTTAAATATTATTTAAGAACGTCGAAAAAAAAAGGTGGTGATTGTCGGGTGGGTTCTCTCAAAGTTGAGGTAATTGTTTAGTTGGAACTTGGATATAATCATGCGGGCCGCTGTATTCTATTTTTTCCGGACCGGTCAGATTATGCCTATCCGCCCCTGGTTATTACAAATATATGTCAAATGAATATATGAGTATATCACCGGGGACGATTCGCTGCAAACAACTGGTTTACCGTCCATGTCTAGCGTCGTGTCGTAACGTAACATTTCTTTGATGTTCGACAAAATATCGACACTCGGATGGATCGTCAGCGTCGCGAACTGAACACGCGCGAATGATATAGTAACACCATACACACCATACCACCACCACACACACACAGTTACATTACGCCTGTTTCGTTGTGTACCCGACTAAAGGGACTTCAGACTATGCCAGTAATTTAGTCAAGTAGCGAGTATTTTAGTAATTAACCATGTATGAACAGATCGATTTATTCGAGTAGTTTAGTAAAGTAATTTAGTTTAGTCAATCCATTCTATTCTATTTTTTTGGTCGAGTAGTTTAGTAGTTAGTAAATCACTTACCACTCGACTAAATTACTGGCATAGTCTGAACTAACCTTTACTGTGTGTAATGATTTACACCATTTTATACCGTGATATAAACTAATAAATAACGGTTCTTTCGATACCCGCACAGACAACACAATTCAAATAATAAAGGCCTAACCCAACAATATACCATTAACATCATAGGTCGAATCTTCAAAGGACCTGTCCAAAATATATTCCCCGCCATACGACCTTATATAACAGGGACACATAACTCTCTCCCAGCGCTCTTGCCCATAGGCCAACAGTGCATACGTAAAGGGCTCTTGATCATAGGTCGTAAGTGCGTGCGCACTCACCGTTAGATAATATAACAAGGAATCTCTAGTAACAAGTGATAATTAGGTGCAATTATTTCACTTTTAAATTCATTTTTCTATTTGAATTTTCTGTGCGAATGTTGAAAAATGTCCAGCTTTGGTTCATCAAATCCTGTGTCTGTCTTTCTTTATTTCAACTTCATTATACTCCTAAGATAGTTTATAAGCCTATTTGGCATCCGAATACCCAATTCCGTACAAGTAAGTGCTATTTTATTTGGCTTGCCAGACTGTTCAGTTGTAATGATCGGCTCTTAAACCTTTGTAACCCCGAGAGCCCTCCATTAAACAAGGAGGAAGTTAATTAACCCACTATATCCTATTGTAATGATGTGCATCATTCGATTGTAAAGGACGGTACAAATATTTTATAATAATGTAAACTATTTGTATGTACGTGATTTTAAACCATTTTAAATAAATAAATAACGGTTCCTTCGATACCCGCGCGGACAACACAAATCGAACAATAAAGACTAATCTTCGAAGGACCGCTCAAGATCCATACCGACATACGTCTCTATATAATAGGGACACACACTACCCTTTCCAGAGCTCTTGATATTAGGTCGTCAGTGCATGCGCACCGATCATAAGATTAAGAGAGTTTATACGCGTGGTTTATTTTGACTAGTGATCCATTCGACTTGTGTTCTTCATACGAGTGTTGAAGAGTATCCGGTTCCAGTGCAATTCAATTCTGCATTTATCCTTTTTTTTCAACCTCACATCGATATTTGAAGGTCTATGGTGAAACAAGTAAGTGCTGCTTTATTTAGCTTGGTAGACTGTATAATTTCGCTGATTGGTTTTCGAACCTTTACAACCCAGATAGCCCTCCCTTAAACAAGGAGGAAGATAACAACCCTTTAATACATTCATATTTCACCACCATTTACATATATACCACCATCCCCCACACCATTTTATTTTATTTTTTGTATTTTTGGGTTGTTAAGTATGTGTGCATTGTACTTGTTATGTATGTGTTGTAACAACCATCATCATACGAATTTTGCAATACAATTTTTATTTTTATTTTTCATACAATCTGTACAATAATATATCTGTAATTGTACAATCTTTTTATCTTTTTTTTTTGTGATAACCGAAGATCGGTTGGATACAGATGCTTCCGTCCGAAAATGTATTTAAAAAATTATACTTCCAAAGAAGTTCCCTCCACGAGTGGCTGCTCGCTTGTTAGACAATCGATATGTCTGTAGTGAAGTGGTCACTTCAGTAATCTCGTAACGCAGTTATGACATTGTATCTGGTTCTGTCTTTTGTTTGGTTTTCTCAACCCGGTCTGCATCCGCCAGCAACGATGTCACGTGCTGCTCCGATATGTTTGACATGGCTTCTCTCGCCCTGGTGCCTATCGCCAAGACGAGTCATCGATACCTGACCGAACTCGCCCCTACCCAGATAACGTGGAACATGCGTGCACCCTCCCTAGGTTCCGTTTTCTCAGATCGTCATTCTCTTTCGCCTTCTTCTTGGACCGGCTCGTGGAGTTCGTCGACCTGCTTACCTCCTGCCCTCTCTTTCCTCCTATTTCCAGGACAAGATCGTTTGCGCCATCTCAATGCACGATTGTCTTCCGCGTGACCATGCCGATATAAGGGGTCCGTACAGGTCAGTAATGTCACGTTAAGCTATGTAGCCGCTCCGGGCAAATTAAAATATGCCACCCTTAAGAAAATTACAATTCAAAATAAAAAATAATAAATGTAATAGAAATAATATGTAATATAGTTATACAATCATACAAAAGAAAAATTATAATTATATATTTTTATTTTATGTCGATCCTCAAAAATTTGCCGCATCGGGGCAATTGGCCCCCCTTGCCACCCGTTAAACGTGACTCTGCTGGGTAGGGTCCGGGTCTCGTCTCGGAAGATCACGAGGTCCGCACAGCAGGTCTACGACGTCACCACCCTGTGTGGACCGCGTCCTCCAGTGCATCATATTCAGCAAGTCTGAGATCGCTCCAGTGCGGACACCCAACAGCGTGTGCTCTCCGGTATCCGGCTCGTTGCCACGTAGTAGTGGTGCAGGGCCCTGTTAATACGATGCAGACGTCAGTGCCCAAGTCAAATGGTAGATTATGGCCGTCTTCAGTCTCCCTGGTCAGGGCCTGGACTAGCAAATATTCATGGTGGAAAAGAGTGGGTTATAAATACATAAATTTACCGACCGCTTTCTAAAACAGAGTTCTACAATATTAATACTACTTAATTCGTTGACGATTTCTGACTATATAAATTGATCATTCATAGGTAAGGGGGTATACATCCTCCTAGTACTACCCACGTTGGAAAAAAAAATAATAAAAATAAAATATATTATTTATGTAATTTTTTTGTACTACACGGAATTACGGAGAAAATAATTTATATTTTTAAAATATTAATAATTTTTGATCGAAACCTTCAATGTAACTAAAAATAATTAAAAAAATACTTTTATAATTTATTACAGTATACAAAAACAAAATCACCGTTGCATATGTCTTTATTAAATATAATATTATTACTTACCTTTAAGCTTTAGGTAATAGAAATAATAAAACAATAATTGTGTAAATCATATTATAGTATTAATCTTTGTTTATTATAGTACGGTTAACAATTATTAATCAACAGAGAGAGTTGAAGTTCAATAACACATGATAACTATATGATAATATACATCTTGGTTAACAGATGGAACAAATTTCCTGTTCCGAATATAGTTTAGAGGATTAAACGATCGCCGACCGCCGTACAGTGTTCAGAATCTAGTATGCTCTTATGAACTTTGATTGAACTGCTGCATTATTTTAAGTCTAATACGAAAAGGTAAGGTATTATTTTAAAATCTTAATCCTAAATACTTTATGTATAAGGATGTTTATTTAATTTTTTTTTTTTTTTAATTAAATTTAGATAATTTTATAGGTATATAAATAAAGATCTAAATTCTTAGAAATGTATACATATATGTATATATAAATGTAACACGTAATACCTATTAGCAAAAATATTAAGATCAGTATGTATACATAAAATGGAAAAGAATTAATACAATGTGTACAACCAATAATAAGATTACGATAGTTATAGGATTTACGTATTTATAATATTGAATATTACTGTTCATTTAAATATTTAAAACATACATGCATAAATAATATAATACAAAATATTACTTAAGAAACACGTTTTTACTAAAACGATTTTTAAATTAGATTTTAGTTATTATTCTGAAAAACTATATACTGAGTCACTGACTTTACTCAACTAGTAAAATCATATAAATATGGGTGCTATAGGTATTAGTTATGGTGTTGGATTATTATTTTATCAATGTTTTGATTGGACTCTGTTACTTATGTCTTATAAATTAGTAATAATTTTTTAGTAACAATCAACAGTCATAGTCCATAGTGAGTTCGTGACATAAATTAAATTATATATATTTAATTACATATAAATTATATAAATTAAATATATATATATATATATATCAAAAGGTAACATATGACTATTGTTTTACTGGCTGAAAAACTCATTTTTAAAATATTCATCAAGTAAAGTGTTTATGAAATCAAATGTAGGTCCACGTTTAGGTTATTAAATTGTTCAAGAATTTTTAAAAAAATTTTATAACTAACACATTTGTTATAATAAGTGTAGTCAAATATGTATATTATGTAGGCTAAAGCTTGAGAATAATGAGAATAAAATACACTTTTATCTATAAATATTATTGATAACTTTTTTCCGGTAGGTCATACAGATAAGCATTATACATTTTGCATAATGTTCCGGTTAAAATACTATTCATCAAAGAATAAATATCCGGCTAATCTCAACAGTGATTATTTTTCAAAATTTACGGAAGGAAGTTTGTTTGATTGTTTATTTGAGATTGTAGTAATTTCCGTTTTAAAATGCTATGTTAAATTCACATTGTGAATTAGTATGTAGAAACTTAATAAATTAATTAATTTAATTGACCATTTTGGAGGGTGTTTGAATGCTTTTTGGGTGTTTATTTATAATAATCAATAAATAACAGGTTTAATTTATGTAATTACTAATTACGTATTATGCATAATTATGAGCAGTATCCTTTAAATGCAAAATTTTAATAAATCTTATTTTTAATTAAAATTAAACTATAAGAAAACAATTAAATTTAAAATATTTTCAATGTTGGTATTTGTAAACACATCTGTTTTAAACTATAAAATTTATATATACCTATATATATTAAATAGGTAACTTTATATTTCTACAAATGATGTACCTATGTTTTTTAACACTTGGAATATTTAAATAAACATTTCGTCTAAATATACTAATTATTTCTTCTCAATTCTGGAACACAATGTGGTAATATTGTAGATGGCAGCGTCTGCTGTAAAATTAACATAGGTGCTAGTACATAATATATTTGAATATTTTATCTTATCAAATATCAATTATCACATACCTACTATTACTAAGACGAATATAGGTACCTACACCTTAACTTTAAAATGGCTTATAAATATTACCAACTACGTTTTATTATACCAATAGATACAGCGTACCTCGAATATCCCGTAACAGTCATAATATGACCATTTATATGTCTAATCCCTTAATATTTCTGTAGGAATTCGATATTTTGTTTGGCGGTTATTGTACACGAGAGTATTATGTAATACAACCTATCATTGATTTAATTAAACATAAAAAAAGTACACATAGGCAAAGTCCCTATTTTTTATTGAACCCAACACTACAATCCGACATACAAAGTGTGTAGTCCGAAAATGGAAGTGTGCACTACGGATTCGAGAAGTGTGTACTTACCTACTAAATATTAAAAAATAAGACTAGGTACTTTGAAGGTGTTTTTCAGGAAGCCAGTTTAATCAAGACAGGTGATGAGGACTTAAATATATATATATATATATTAAATTTTAAATTATATATTCCACATTAAAAAATAATTTGTAAACAATTTTCAGATTTATACTAGTCAAAATTATATTTTCAGATTTAAGAATAATAATAAACTAATAGTAAATAAAAAAAAACTATTACTAAAAATTATTATTGGCATTGTACTACAAATTATAATTATATGGAAGGGGGTAGAGGGGACTCTGTATCAATAAAAAAAGTGTACGAATTTTTATGAAAAATAGGGGCTAGGTTAGTCTAGGTATAGGCATCAATGATACGTTTTAAATATGATCCTCGAATAATCGAAAAATAACCAATTTTACAAATAATATACTCATAACGCTAAGTGATTAATATTTAAACAATTTTGTACTTAGATTTAAAAATATATATATCTAGTTGGTTAAATGTCATTGGATTAAATAGTTACAATTGAAGATTTTCAAAGCTTTTATTAGGAAATTAAAAATAATTTTTGAATGGTTATTGTTTTTTTTTTTTTTTAATAAGTTTATTATAAGTAGCTACTTATATAAATATAGATGACTTGTATTTCAATTAAATGCCGTCATTAAACTCTCTCTTAAGAAAAAAAAATAATTGCAAAATTAATTAACCTAATTCATTTTTATTTAATATACGTAATTAATACGAATTGCTGGACAAGACTATAATATAATAATTAGGTCTTGTATATTTAATTTTACGAATAGAAATATGCTCCTTAAAAAATATATATGTTGAATGTTTTCATATAACCAATTCGAAATTACGACAAATACGATACGGGTGGTCTTCTTAAATGCTTTTAATGAGAAAATGTAAAAGCATTTAATTCATCTTCAATATTAAACTAAGGCGCTATAGATTTAAGTCGTTGTTTTCGAGTTTTTAAATGAAAATAAAAGTAATGGATCTCTTTAAAGTTTTTAGTTAAATAATTTAAGTTAAATTGTAGTTGAAAATTATTCCACTTAAAAAAAAAATAAAATAATAAAACATATGAATGTGTCTACAGTAATGATCTATAGTCAGTGCCGTCGCAAGTTTTTGCAAGGCCTTAAGCAAAATCAGTATAATTTCCTTACTTCTAAATATATTTAACAATTCTAACTTGACAAATTGTGAGCCCCGAATTTATTTGAAGTGCGATGCCCTAGACAATTGCCTAAGTTGCTTGCTCGCTAACGACGGCACTGTATATAGTTATGAATTAGTTCACTCTATTATTATTTTTTATGAAATATATAAGTCAAATCAACAACATTTCTAAAATGTAAAAAGAGTTTGAAAATAAATTACATTTTTTTTTTTTTTATTATAAATATAATATTTTAATCATTTGTGTATACTTACCTATTTATTTTTAAGAGACTATTTCAATATGGTTCATTTCAATGCTATTGTAATCGGAACGTTAGTACTTTTAGTACTTTGTGAACGCTCTATGTCTTTGGAAGAAAAACAGGTAAAAATATTCAATTATTGTTTTGTAATCATTTGAAAAATCATATTATCATACAACATTGGTACATTCTATATTTTTAACAGAGCACTTGCAATAAGAAATAGTAAAAGAAAAGTTTAAAAATTATATTTTACGATATTAGACATAAATGTTTTATTAGAATATGTAACATAAATAAGATTTACGTTAGATAATAAATTAAGCACCAATAAATAATAAAAAAAAATATAAATTTTTTTAAATAAGTTTAAAAATTATAATCAATAATACTCATAAATACATTTAAAAAAAAATGTGATGTAGTAGTTGTCACTGTGTTAATGTATTCATTTGTAAATTATTTAACATGGGAATTTTTAAAAATCTACTAAATACCTGTAATTTGTAATTTGTATCAATAATTTAGATACAGTAAAATTCAAAAAATGTTTAAAATTTTGTTCAGAAAATTTCATTCAGAAATGAAATTTACTAATAACTTTTAGAACTAAAATTAATTGTGTATCAATTACAATTTTATTTTATGTCATAATCGAAATTAAATTTTTAAATAAGTTTAAACAGACCAACATTTTATATAGTAATTATATTGTTATAATAATGTATTAATTTTTTGAAATTTAAAATTAATGCATTCTTTTATTTATTAATTATTTATAGAGAAAGTCTAAAAAGTTTAAAAATAAAATCCATGGTTTTACAAAAGATGATATAGAAAACATTATGGTTAAAGCAGCCCAAGACGAAAAAGAAATGAATGCGGCACCATACCAGGTGGATATATCACAAAATCTGGAAATGCCTGTCGAACAACAAAGTAATTATTTTTTGTTAAAAATATTATTAGAAACTTAAATAAAATAATTCCAGTCTGTATCAATCATAATAATAATAATAATAATAAAATAAGTTCTATTTATAGCCTTTGATATTTTTTTTATAAAAGTAATACTAGGATTTTATTAGTTCTGAAATTAATATATTAAAATCTATAAACTCTCACAAATAAAAATGTTATTTTATTTTTATTAATTTTTTAGGGTCTTATCTATAAAACGTTTGTTTTGATATTTAATCAAATATATACTTAAATTTGTTTGATTAATTTTGTCTGATAAATTTAAAATTACAACTACATACAGTTGTTTTAATTAACTATCCTATTGAAATTAGGATATAATTCGTAAGTTCAAAATTATACATAATACATTTTTACCAATCATTCTAAACCTCCAATTATTAATGGTATTAATGTTAAAATATGAAATTAGTAAAAAGTTGTTCATATATGTTTATAAATAAAGTAATTTTTCATGTCTAAAGAAGGAGATAATTTCAGTTTGGAGATTTTAGTTGGATAAAGCTGAACAGTTCAAAATTAAGTGTGAACTGTCATTAAATTATAACTAAAATGATAAAACACTTATAAAACAATATTTTCAGTTTGAATTATTATATTTAAATATATAACAACAAAAATATAATATTAATATTAAACTGAAATTATTAGCCACTTTTTTTTACAATTATGTATAAAATCTAATTTAATAAAATCTTAAAAATAATAATTATATTAGGGTCATAATAAAAGGTTGGATATTTTAACTTTTCACCATCGTTTATATATTTATATAAAATAATAAAAATAATATAATAAAGTAAAGTTAAACACAATTTTTTATTGTTTTTTGACTAAATATTAGTGTTTATTACTAACTAATTAAAATTGTATTATTAATAAAATATCACAATTTTAAATCCGATTGAAAATATACAAAAATCAATTATACATATTTCAGTCAACATTTATCCAAACAGATTTTATTGAGTCTTCTGGTTTTGAGGATAAAATAGCCTGTGCACCCTTAGGGAATGCATAAATTAAAAATCCATCTAGTATAATACACCCTTCTTCACAATGGTTTTCAACAAGTGCTTCTTTTTTTATTTTATCAGACTTAACTAGTTCATCATTTGATTGCCAAAGTGATCTTCCTGTAGGTTCTCGAATTGTGTACTGTAGATATTCAGAGTCTGGACTGTAAACTAGATTTTTATTGTACTCATCGACTATTTTCATACATTCTTGTTCTGATACAGATTGTTTGCTGAGATTTAAAATCCTTCGAACTTCGTCAATATTAATTTTATTCAAAGAATAACTCCAAGCACTTGATCCTGTTCCTGTACTTATGCATAATCCAGATGATTTAATCTTTAATGGTAAATTACCATCAAATTGGCACTCCAATTCAGATGTTCTTCCTGGCATTTTATCACCAATAAATACTTCATTTAATGCTAACATATCATGAGTTGAATGAGAATCTGGTCTTATTTTTACAAAATCTTGATACATATTTACTGGTGGTTCCCTCTTTCCTAAAAAAAAAAAGAAATAAAAATGATATGACCTATTTTAAAAGCAAGTGTTTTATAATTTCTTTACCTTTCATTGTCACTCTTATACGTCTTCTATTTATAAATGAATATTTTCCTTTTTCTAATGTATCAAATGTTTTCTGTATATTTCGAGAACAGATTTCTGGTAAACATAAATAGCCAAGTGATGAACTTGGATTAGAATTAATGCCTACTACTGGAGTTTCATTGTCCTGAACATAACTGGACATGACTAAGAATGTTCCATCTCCACCAATAGCAATTAGAACATCAGCCCAAGATACAGCAGCAGTATTGATATCCTTGAAAAATAACACAGTTTATTAAATTATTCTCTATTAAAATGTAATAATATGTTACCTTCAAATTTATAATTTTTGATTCAACATCCAAACCATTTATTGCAGCAGTCACTTCTTTTACAATATTATAATGTTCATTGTGTGATTCTAAAATTGTTTTTAAATTAACACCTTGGTCACTTAATTTACTCAGTAATTGTTTTTCTGAAACATTGGCATTTTCAAGACGTTCACGTTCAACTCTTGTATATTTTGCTACTAATAAAACTTTTTTGCCCTTCCATAATTGCATATATCTGCGTCCGATACACATTTGTTTGAATGCTTTTTTGGTAATCATTAGGTCCTTGTCAAAAAAATCACTGTGGTGCCGGTCGTGTATGTAAGTTAACTGAAGCTGGTGAAGCGGAATGTGTTTGTATTTCAGACTGTCCTATTGAAACAGATGATAGAAGAAAGGTAAGATTAATAAAATAACATGGTACAAATTTTTAAATTTAAAAATATACATTATACAGGTTTGTTCAAACTATAATGAAACATGGGGTTCTGACTGTGAAATTCACAGAATGCGTTGTAACTGTGAAGAAAATACAGAGAAATGCAAAAATCCAGAATTTGCTCATCTGCATGTAGAGTACTATGGTGTTTGTAAACAATTAGCTGTAAGTTTTAACTAAGTTGTTCAACTAAAATATTAATAAATTTGATAGTTGAAAATTAAATCACCAATATTCATATAAATCTATAGAAATGTTCCGATTCTGAAATGGCCGATTTTCCAAGGAGAATGAGGGAATGGCTATTCCAGATAATGCAAGATTTAGCTGAAAGAGAAGAACTTAGTCCTCATTTCACAAGAATGATACGAGATGCAGAGACAAACATGACAAAACGTTGGAGTAATGCTGCAGTTTGGAAGTGGTGTGATTTGGATGGCCACCCACATGATAAGTAAGATTTTAATAAATTAATTAATAAAATAATAATAATAATAATAATGTTACAAAATAATATCAATTGACTAAATTATTAAACATTTATCATTTTAATTTGTGGTTAAATATCATTAACTCATGCACAATATGCTGTGTTTTCTAACAGTATAAAAATATGATTTTCAACAAATTATAAAGTTAGGTGACAAGTTGGTCAAAAATTTTATTTAATCAAAACATAACATTTCTAGGATTCTATAAAATTCTCAAGAAACTAAAATTGCTTTTAAAATTATTTAAGCAATTATACACATATTTAAAAAGATCTAAAAATTTGTTCACATGTATTAATGGTGTACAATTAATGCAACAAATTCTTTTACTTGCAACAGTTTTCAAAATACAACTATATTAAATTACTATATATTGAATTTCAGGGCTGTATCAAGACATGAACTGTTCCCAATTAGAGCACCACTTTTGTACTTGGAACATTGTATAGCTCCATTTTTAAATAAATGTGATGCTGATAATGATCACATGATTACACTTAAAGAGTGGGGTAATTGTTTGGAAATACCTTATGTGAGTACTAAATATTTATTAAAAATACGAGCAATTTTGAATTAATGAATAGAAAAGCTGATATATCAATATATATTATAATGACTTATTGTTTCAGGAAATATTGGAAGAAGAATGTGATGACTTACGTTATGATCTTAACTAACAAATATTGTTATAAAATATGTTTACAGAAGGCAATTTTATTTAAAAATTATTTAATGAGTATAACATTTTTGTAGTATTTATATACATTTTATTTCAGTTTACTTTTTCTGTGTAACTATAATAATATAATAATAATAAAAAAATATATATAGTTTATGGTTTTTTTTTACTTTTTAATTTAAACATGTACTTACAAGAAATTATTTAAATTATAATTTTATATTTTTTTTTATTATTATTACTAATATCGTAATGTACCTTTACATCTTGAGAAGAAATATCTGAATTCATATAAGTTAGGTTTATCAATTCATCTTTCCAAATATTGTTCTATTCAACATGCAGAAAACTATATTAAAATGCTAAAAATATAAAAATTCTGGATAAATATGAGTTTTCTTCTACTAACAAATTTATGTTTATTTTTCCAATAACTCTATTACTATTTTATTAGATAACTTTGACAGTCTTAAAATATTTTGCCGTTTCAATTTTATTATATCAGATACTATTTTTCTAGAAATTCTTTCAATATTTCCTTATTTCAATGCCTATTAAATAACTTTAAACTTACTAACTTTTTATTTAGTTGTTTTATCTGCAGTAAAATTTATTCACAGCATAATATCCAATACAAGAAAAAAATAAAATAATTTAATAGTTGAATAATAAAATATTATAATGTAATAAATATAACTGATAGAATAAGTATATGGAATTTTATTGAATTAATATTTGTTATAAGTTATAGTTTAAAAAATTAATAAGTGTAAAGAAATAATGATTTAGGAATTAAAACATCTAAATCAATTTTTAAAAATGATTTTTACTAATCTTCCTTTTCAAACAGTAATAATTTTGATATAGTCTTCAGATTTTTTAAAAGGACAAATAAATGTTAGAACTGATTGACAATTGAATGTAATCAAATGGAATATACATCGCAATTACCTAAATCTGTATAAATACTTTGAAAATTAGACACGAATGGAATATATAAGTTTCTAACAAACGAAGATATCCTGCAATGTTAGGTAACTTGTTACACTAATTTTCACAATGCATATACTTACAATAGGTATATAGGTATGTTTGCAAGGAATATTAATTTCAAACCACTAAAATTAAAAAGGTAAGTACTGGAGCGTGCAAAGGGTTAACTATTTTATTGAACCATTAAAATTGTTTTTCGTATTTTCTCTCAATTTACATTGACCAAACCAAACGGTATCATGAAAACGAAAACGTCGGTGACATTGACCGATCATCAACGAAGTGTACGTCGAACACAGATGAACCCAATCTTGAGAAGTACTAGTGAACTGAAAGTGCATCACGTGTTCGAACGGCACACGCTACTAAAGTAATACTACGATATGCTCATTGCGCGGCCGTGAGAATAACGACGACTAGTTGGGGCGAAACCGCCGGAGGGAAAATCGCGTTCGTGTGATCGGGTGACACTGTTATTCCGAGTCGCCGAATTTCCCACGGGACGGACGTCGAGCCGGCCGATAGGTTATCTGACGGGACGGCGGAACAATGATATTACAACGTACGCGTGGATGAGTTGTATTAAACATTTCGAACGGTTAAGAGGAGAAAAAATGACGGCGACTACAGCTGGAAAGGAACGTGGATGGCGTTAACGGACAGGGTTACGCGGGGACAACAGCTGGGCGTGTGATAAGACCGGGACCGGTAGACCTTCGCACCGGCGAAACCGTAAGTACGGGCCGAAAACGCGGAGGCTACACAAGTAACAAACAACAACAAAGGAAGAAACGTTTTGTGTATAACGGGAGCCGAGTCTAACGGAACCGTCTGCGTAGCGCGCAACTCGTACGCACTAATCCCGACGGAAAATTTTAATTTGGTTTATTTTTATTATTTTTTTGTACTCTTACTTTTCAAACCATTCGTCTTCTATCATCTGTCCCCGCACGCTGATGGTGCGGTGTTACGAGTTACACTCCGCGTCAAGTGGTCGCGTTTCGTTTCTCTCTCTCTCTCACTCTCTCTCGCTCACCCGTTCCCTTTCTCTGGACGGCGATTAATGTTGTCACTGCAAGTCGCGTGGATCTGTCGAGCGCTCGCACTCGTCGGCGGTTTATTCGTATCGAGCGGTACCGGTGCGTCGTTTAATATGCCGTCGCGGTCGGAATGAATAGATTTGTGCCGTTTGAACGGATTGATGATGGTCGCGTGGACACTGCGGTTACGCGAAGAAAGTTACGTGCTTCACGTACGGCGCACGCACACATAGGCACCACGCCGTGGCCGGCTATTAAAATGTCTTGTGTTGTTGTTTTGGTGGAAAATATTATTGTTATGATGACGATGAATACGGGACGGTGTTGTCGCTTATCACTGCGCGTTGCGATAAAGTGCCTTATCTCCTGGTACGTCCGACGGCATGTGATAACACTGCTGACGACGGTCGTGCGCGTCGGACAAACATGTTACGAGATAAAGCGTACGGCCGCCGCGGGAGCAAGAAGTTTCCTTTGGACCGGCCGCCTCTGCGTGTTATCTGCTCCGGACCCGATCGTATCGTCGTACGCCAAAAGGGGTGGGGGAACCAGTCGATTTACCGTCGCACTGTTATTCGTATTAATCATTATTATTTTATGCTATGGCCTACAAAACCCATTGATTTTCTATTGATTTCCAAGACCATTCTCCCACGGCCCTGCACACATGTATGTTGTGTCATGATTACGATGATCGTTTTATGATCGATTTACATATTTCACCCGTAACACATTTGAATCTCACGTGACGATGATACTTTTATGTTAATTGCAATTTAGTTCATGTTTATAACATGGTTAGCAAACACAATTGAATCGATGATTGCAGAAATGTCACCAATCACATATTTTATGAAATTGAAATATTAGTAAAAACATGTACTAGATTTATGTTTTTTATGAGTTAAGTGTAAAAAAGTATTTATTTTTATTTTTTTATCAGATAAATAAAGTATAACTAAAGACGTTTTTACATTTAACGCATAAAAATTCATGACTAGTTTATGTTTTTACTAATATCTCAGTTTCATAAAATATGTGATTCGTGACGTTTCTGCAATCATCAATTCAATTATACTTTGCTTGATCGATAATTTCGTACATTATTTGTTCATCTTGTGTTAGATGTCATTGTTTTTGAAGCTTAGTACCCATATAATAAAGCGTTTCTTGACATTGATTGCTTTTAGGTATGTAGTTCAAACGGAATGCTGCGATGTCTTTAGTTATTATTATTTTCATTTTTATTGCTTCCTTTGAAAGTACCTTGTCTCGCCCCAGTTAAAGGATCCATATCAATAGTAATAATAAGTAATTATTTTTGTTTCACCATTCGATAGATTATATAAAATCGCATTACCTATGGATCAAGATCGACTTTAGAAAATTGTGAAATATTTAAATGGACCGTAAATAATATTTCATGCTGACAAAATAAATCCAAAGTTTTTTATACGTAATTATTAATCAATTAATTATAAGTACACGTTGCATTCAAATATTGCTATGTCCAATGAACATATTTTTGAGCATTAGTTGTTTTTGGAGAAGGAGATTTGCATGTCTTTAAAAGTCTTTAAAACCCTACTCCCGGTATCCCAGAATATACTATATGCATTATATATATATCGTTACATAATATAAATAACTGGCATTATATGTTTTATAATTTATATTCATATAGTTTTTAATGTACGGTAAATGTAATGCAGTTATAAAATAAGTCACGTAATACAATTTTCTTAAAATATCTTGTTAACAATTTATAAGTCAGTATGTCAACAATCCCACAAGAGCTTCCGGCACTCGAATCTCCTAGTAGAACTTGTGCTGTAATATTTCGTAAATGTACGCTATTGCAACATGTTTAAATTCAATTTGTGAGTTGTGGTGTATTGATTTAAAAATGTGAAATTTATTGGAATTTATAAAATTAATTAAATTAAATTTTTAGTGAGATCGTTTTTAATTTATGGCGTTCCAAGAAAGGTAATATTTAATTTTGAGTGAAAACTATTAAGACTTGAAGAGGAAATTTACATTTTAAGTTTTTACTATCGTAGTAATTAATTCTTATATGTTTAAAATTTGCGTTTTGACTATATAATTAGTAACTACAGTAGTAGTTTTATTAATGACGATATATCCATAACAGATAATACAATTTTAACGAAATCCGGTTGTTATCTAATGTACTGCTTACATGACCATTATTTATTTATATATAAAGATATATGGTGGGGGGCTGTTAGGTATACTTGCCCCATGCGCTATTGGTAATAAGGCGCTTTTAAGTTTATGAAAAATCAAAAAAATCATGAACATACCTCGGATTTCCACCTCCGTGAAGGTGTTACATTTTTATTAGCACCGGTCGTCAAATATCCTAGATATGGCACTGCTTATATTGGGGAGGTTTATTTTGTCGTATAAATTTTAGCTTATATTATGTATTATAGAATTAATTTTTGATTTAAAAAAGTACAACTTGGAAATATATTTAAAAAAAACAAATAGACAGAAATGATTTTTAAAGGAATGAATTGTTTCCATTCAAAAAAGTATATAAAATCTTATAACTTCTGTATAAATTAATGAATTAATAGTTTATAAATGAATAATTGACGAAATATAACGAATTATTAAATTAACAAATTGAGTATCGTAATTTTTTTAAGTAATTACTTAGGTTTTCAAGGATTTTATTGTTTAAAATTTATTATTTGATTTATATGTATTTTTTAAATGCTGCTTTCAAGAATATTAATTTTTGTCCATTACGTAAATTTTAAAAGTTATCGGGTTTCCATTATTTATCGTTATGTACAGATAGTCCACCTACAGTTTATTTTTTATTATATATTATATGTGTATCAATGTATTGCAAACAATACCATGTTTTTAATAAATAGTTACGATAGTAATAGTTACAAAAATTATTATTAAAAATTTTAAATATTACATATAAATGATTATTTTAATAATACTTTACTGTAATAAATATTAAAAATAGAAAGATTCGTAAGTATATTGAAGAATTTATATAGTTTGTATGGCCAGGTGCGAATGCAGGGGGTACGGCTTATGGGTTTAAGCCTCCCCAGTAGTATCAGAAAAAATGTTATAAGAATATGACCTACAATTTAATAGTTATTTCAAAGTTTCCTGTGGGACTTGCAAATAAAATATATAAATATATATATAATAAATAATGAGTAATGAGTAGCATGTTAATCATCAACATTTTACATTTTTTTCAAAAGCACCGCAAAATATTTTCCTGCATTTGCCAATTTATATATTATACACCGCTCCTATTGTCAAGAAAATATTGGCCGATATATGGCTTGTAATTTATTTATTGTTTTTATTTTTATTTTGAATCCCATCAGTATATCTAGCTCAACATTTTAAACTATTGTAAATTAATTAAATTAATCGTAAATTGTATGAATAAATAACATTAGATTATCTAATAAGTAATAGTAGTTTGATGCATTGAATTTGAATTTTTTTTAAACATAATATTTAATTAATTAATTAATTATTCTACTACGCAAAAATATTCTTTGTCGTTTATTATGTGGTTATATGAGACTATTGAAAGTGAAAGTATAAAATTTCGTACCATTTCCGTGCACTGTCTCCTGTTCAGTATTGAAATCTGATTGTAGTATTATTATATTTATTAGTAACATAAAACCTTTTCGAGGTTATTAAAATCGTAAATGCTTACTCTAAAGGCATTCTCTAATTTCTTTTTATTTTGACTCCAAAGTTAATGTTTAAAATTTCAATTGATAAAACAATCATATTGGTTTCAGATGAAATTAGTAAACTTACGATTGTGCAATTGAATTTTGTTTTTTTGTAAATATTTTTGTCTTTATTGTTAGTCTTAATTATTTGTCTTAATTTTTTTAATTTTTATTAGTGGAAAATATATGAGCTATACCTACTTTAAACATATTATTTCATTTCTGTATGGTTCCTGTCTTCAATTAAGCATTTCTGAAAATAAACGTAAATTGCAATAGAGTAGGGACTGTGTTCAAATTCTGGTTACCTAGTTTATATGTGCATTAGTACATGTACGTATTGTACAAGATGTGCATTACCCGAGGATGGTATAATTTAATGTTAATAGGAAGTTATGAGATTTTTTGACTTTGAATTTCATGTGAAGATTCTGAGGTATTCTTCTAACATGAAAAAATATTCATGTATTCGGAAGATATTAAATCTAGCGCTTTTTAAAGACGAGGTTTGTAATTTATAGCGTTATATTCAGTGTTGAGATTTATCTAGATAAAAATATTAATTATCTCTAATTTTATCTTGGTAAAAATATAAGCTTTATCTATTTATTTATCTTAGATGAAGTCATTAGTTATTTACTGTATATTTATCTAGATATATTTTTTTTATGTATAATAATAATTTAATGTATAATTAATATTTTGATTACTTCGGGGACTCGGGGATTTTTCTGTACATCGCCTGGGTAGCTGTGACAATATTATTAAACAATGAAAATGTGTAGTTAAAATTAATATGATCGAAAAGGCCACCCACGTGTTTTCCTTAATTTCGATGAACATTTGTACCCTAATGAGTATTAATCAAATGTAACTATTATTTAGCGTAGATATATAATAATAAAATAAAAAAAATAGATGTATAATAACTGTGGGGTTCATCAAGAATAACCATATTTAATAACGATAATTATAATAATTTTTATCTTCATCCACTGTTTCTTGGTTAAAACTATTAAAATCTTCTTGAAAATAAATCCTTCGATCCACGCGGGCAGTTTTATTTTCATTAATTTTATAATAATAAATTGTATAAATATTGTATAATAAATATCGTGACGTGCTTATGTGGCCAAACTTGTAAGTCCATCTACCACCTATAACCGTTTGCTAAAGTTTTTCTAGCACGATCGGTCATGAGATCCAGAAATAAATATATAATATAAAATTTGTACCTATTTATTTTTTTTATTCCAAACAAAATGGTTTATTCGTGATAGGCTTGATAATTTTTTTTGTGTTTTTTTTTGACAATTTAATATAAAATCATTGTTTTTTAAAAATGTATCTACTTTTTATCTTGATGAATTATGATTATCTTTTATTTTTTATAAAGATAATTTTAGTTGAGCTTTTTTATCTTTATCTGAATAGGTTTACTATCTTTATCTTTATCTAGATAAAAAAAATATTTACCTGGGCTCAAACACTGATTATACTACCGTAAAGAAGTACACATTTTTTACGTTACTGTTATACGAGTAGTAGCCATAAGCAATGGCATTATCATATGATTATAATAGAGTTCTAAGGTTGCAATGGCTTTAATGCTGAAATAGTGGTTTACGTGGTAATTTATATAATGTATGAAAACATAATATATATTATTTATTTTATCACCATTCCATATTCTAGCGTTCCTGCTCTTTATTTTATATTATTTATACTAAACGCACTATTTAAATATATTCACATTTAATTTTAATGCTATAATTTTATGCTTGATTTTTCTTGAACATTATTTATAGATTTAAAACAGGGTGTTTTCCTTTTAAGACAAGAAAATGATGTATATTAATGCTGTCCTTGGACCAAGGTTCTATTATTTTTATGTTCGTAAGCGATTAATGATTAAATTTTCATTTTTATTCATAATTATCGTGTATCATTTCGTACAGTTAATATAACACATCTGGGCCATAGGAGTTTCAATTTGCAGGAAAAACTCGTAACAACATGCGTAATATGTTAGAATTTAAAAAAATATTCAATAAAAAAATGTACTAATGAGTTATTGTTATTTATCATACCTTTTGTTATCGCGTAATCGCATTTCACAGTTTTCAATGGTTTATTGATGAACAATGGACTTAAAGAAGATTTGAGATTAATTTTTTGTTATTTTGCATTTTTTCGATAAAGTTCTTATGAATTAATTTTGATTAATAATGTATGTTACTAAAAAAATTTAATTATTTACTATTAAACCCATAAATTATAATTATAAAACACTTATATTTCTAGTTTGTATAAATACATGAAATTAAAATTTGATTTTATAATCTGTTTTTAATTAATAGAAGCAACTTATAGTTCTAATTTATTGATCAGAAGTTGCCAAAATAGATTATTAAAAATATTATAATGAAAAAATTCCAATTTCATCGATTATGATGATAAATAATTCATTATAATTATTTTGAATAAAACATAAAAATGAAATACATAGGTAATAAGTATTCACCACAAACGAAGTGTATAGGATCAAAATAATATTAAGCTATATGTATATGAATTATTTTTTAAATCGAAAACTTACCTAACCTGTTACTTAATAAAATTGTTCAACATGATAGCATGTTAAATATTATAGTATTAGTAGGTATAGTTTTATTTGTACACAAAATTCAATTTTGTAATATTAATAAAATTAGTGATGGACTACAAATAATGTACATTATTAGTTTGTTGGTTAGTTGGTTATTCATTTAAGTGTGGTCGTATCTTACTTTTTTCGATTAATAAAAATTTAACTGTTGATATTTTTTTTATCCATTGTTTTAAATTAATAATTGTATAATTGCCTCGATTTAGCCTCTTATAATTATTTTTACTACCACATGGTAGCAAAATTAGGTTGCGTAATCCACGTTTTAATTAAATAATTACATTTTTACAAGGCAATTTTTGTTATTTTTCTGATATTTAGTTAAAAAATAGTCATCCTCTTCTTTAAAAATATTTATTCATTGAAATTATAATTTTACTTCAATTAAAAAATATATTTTTTATTTACCGATGTACGTACGTTTTTTTTTTCATATTACTACGGACATGAATGTTAAATTATTATAATACTTGTGTAACGCAAAAAGATCACACATAACCATTATTTATATTTTTAAACTTATACAATTAAAAATCAAAATACCATGTGTCGTTTTCGCATTGAACTCACGATGTCTATAATATTAAGCGCGTGCGTACACATTATTCGGATGCATTCCACTATTACTATAACTGCACCGTCTGTGCACAATAACAATAATAATAATGACTATAGTTTTCCCTTATTTCCCACGAACAGTTTCACCATTTTTTTTCCAGGGAAATGAATTTCTCTCGAATGCGCGCGCGCACGCCTGTGCGTATTGTAAAGTTGTTAAAAAAAAGAAAAATTAAAATATATATAAAAAAAAAAAACGTGTACGATATTATTATATTTATGTTATTGTTGTGTCCACAGTTTCACGTGTTAGTTCGCGATTTGACTGGCAGAGCGTATCGCTCGAGGGCACCCACTACGCGTCTAGCCACGTTGTTGCGCCGCCGCCGCCGTGTCGTCGTCACTTGAATGTTGTCGGTGCGCTCACGCCACAAGGCGCGGGCCGCGGTGGTAGTGGGGTTCCGTCCCGCCAACACGCGCACCGTTTAAATACGTCCAATCCATCCCCGGTGCACGTCAATCCACGTCCGTACGCTCCGGAACCTGCCTTCAAAAATGTGTGGTGAGTAGACGCAGATTTACGTTCATCGTTCTTATTGTTATTGTTATTGTTATTATTATTGTTGAAATACCGTTTCGGCGGTAGTCGGTAACAAAAAACGATTCGATTTGCACGTCACCCCGCAGCCGGTTCCAGCTGTGATCGTTGATCGTATATTATTAATATACCAATAATAATGATAATAATAACTATAACGATGATCAATTAATAATATTAATAATTTTAATGTTTACCGTGTATCGTTGTCGTCGAAGTCATGTCCAATGTTAACGTGTAATCGACAAGTGTTACGAGATATGTACACGATACCATATTGTTGGTATGATAATAATTAATAACAATAACGATAATTAATTAATAATATTAATAATTAGAATGTTTACCGTGTTGTCTCGTTGCCGTCGAAGTTATGCACAATGTAAACGTGTAATCTTGTTTTATGTAATACTTGTTACGATAAGTACTCGATACCATATTGTTGGGACGTCCGAAGTACCCGGACTTGCGTGTGATACAGTGATCGTACGAGAACGAGATACTCTTCTCGGTAGAAGTATCATTTAAGCGTTTCTAAATATATTTCGACTGTCCAGCAGTCGACGATTTTTTTATTTTATTTTCTTATAAACACACAGTAATTTATACCAATGATTTGGTCGTCCAGTAGCAGTTGATCCTTAAGAATTTTTCATTCATTCATTTCATATTTATTAATATCACATTAGTTTTTTAGGATTACTGTGGACGTTATTCAAAGTTAAAACTTGTTTTAAAAGATTACAATTTTCAACGCTAATAATTTATTTCTGGAAAATCGTTAGCACACCACATAGAAATAATATTTTATCATCCTGATTCATTTTTAATTGCATTTTAACGTTATTAATCCTCAAATTAAGGCGTTGCCTGGTTTATTATGCAACATTTATACGTATATGTAAGTCAAATACCTTTCTCTATTAGTCTAAAAATAAATTTTTCTTTGGGTGCATTGTGGTGCATTTACCTTAGAGAATACGTATATAAAAAAAAAAAGTAAAGACCAAAGCTAGGTAGATTAATCATATAGAAGTAACGTATGAACCGGTTGCTTTGCCGTTCACTTTCATTGGTTGTTACAACATAGGATGTTATAATATGTTTCATACTTGGATCATGCCCAAATCGGTTATTTGTTTACAGACAAATTTTTTTGGATTCGATATAATTCATTAATTAATTATCTCTTAAATTCAACTTTTTATGAATAACTTTTTTATATAATCATGCATGATAAATATCAAACTGAATAATATAATCGTTTTTATTTATTAAACTTGCCAATAAAATCTGGCGAAAAAAAAAATTAATATTTATTTTAATTAATTAATCGGTATAAATCACTTAAAAATTTTATTGATATTTGATAAAATTGGATTAATATCTCCAGGCTTATATCTAATTTAATATTTGTTTAATTTTTATTTACGTATCTATAAATAAATATTCGAAAACATTGAGAAGTACAACTAAATTTAAAAATATTTATATACTTAATTATATAAATAAATATTATTATAATAGTTTATGGGATGATAGTTTAGTTATATATTATCAACTGAATCATAATTTTACTTAAATTTAACGTTAAAAATCATTATGTTTTTCGTAAAAATACTGATTTTGATAGTACTTGTAATATTTAATATAGTTGTACATATTTTTCTTATTAAAACAAGATCATTTAATTGGTGTAGTAGTGTTTCTGAAATGTATTTTAAACATTAATTATCTTTTTAACTAAAATTTTTGGTATTTGATAATAATAATTATAATATTAATTTTTTTATTTCAATACCAATGAATACATTTGAACTATTATTAAGTAGTCAGAATAGATCAGTATATCTTAATTATTACCTAAAAATTATTATTAAACTATAAAATATATGGTTGTAATATTTTTGTTTATATTAAGAAAAGGGGTCTATGTATGTAAGATTTTATGCATTGGAAAGTTGTTTAACAGGTAGGTATAGCATGCATATAAGTAATATTAATAATGATGTATGCATTATTCATATTGAACTATTATATTAAAAGCTTGTTCCAGAAACGCCCTTATTTTAGGAACTCTTATTAAATTATTTCCATTATTATTACGTTCTCATTTTTTTAGTTGTTACATTTATTATATTAGTCATTAATCGAATAATAAGTATTATAGTGCCGCTATGATTTAATAAACTATAATATAATTTATTATGGATGGATTACATATTAAAGTTGATAGTTACAGCTATTAACGAGAATTTGTTATATTTCAGGAATTTTTGCTTATCTCAATCATTTAACACCCAAATCTAGAGAAGAGATAATAGTTCTTCTTGTAAATGGTCTCAAGAGATTAGAATATAGAGGATATGATTCAGCTGGTGAGTAATATTTTTTTCAATTGTTTAAATTAATTTTACAAGATTGATTCATACAAATTAAATAATATCGATTTAGTTGGATTAAAAGTTATTATCAGTCCACTTTAAAAACTCACTAAGATATTATATCTTATCTCATATAGTAATCGGCTATGCTTAGTTTTTGATTTCTTGCTCGTGTGAAAAGTAATGGTTTTTTGTTATTACAGTTAAGGTTTATTAATTATACCTCTACACAAATTATGGGAATTACTTTGTATGATTTGACATTTAAAATTATTATTAAAGTTTCTACTTACTAAGTTTTTTGATATTTTATTTATGTATAATGTTTTATTGAATTAATACATTTTAAATAAATAAGAAATTATTTAAAAATCTGTATATATTTAGAATTATTTGATATGTATCAGTGAAAATTTGATTGGTAAACTTAATACGATATAGTAAATATAGTAAATTTATTATTAGAAAAATTATAATATACTGGTTCAGTAATTGTATGATCGCGGATATCAACTAACTCTACACTACTTCAATATTTTATTGAAATCTTGGCTAAAATTTTTCCCTAAAAATCAAACTTATTTTCTACATGATAGTTATTTATACACTATGTATAAAAAGTATAATATTCGGGAAATCTAATCATATTGCAATTATATACATTTCAAGTAAATAGACGTTGTTTCTGATGTCTATAATATTGAGTTTTAATGGTAGCCGATAGGCATAGGTAATTAAGACAGTTAAAAATGAAACTGCTAAGCGTTATTTACCATAAAATTTGATCTCAGAACATTAAATCAACTGAAATTCAAAATTTAGTTTTTAAAACAATATTGTTGTTTGGTATTTATATTAAATTAAAATATTTTTCGTTATTCACTGAGTATAAAATGCTATAATTATTAAAAAATACGACGTGTTTGTAAAACTTTGTCCTTCGTAAGTTATTATCCGCTACCAATACTATGTGGGTAAAAATAATTAATTTTATGGCAATTTAAACAATAAAAAAAAATACATATATTTTTTCTCATGTTAGGGATTGTTGATTATTGAGGTAGTAAAAACTTTATTAAATAATACAAAGCGGACTGCTAACCATGTGAGATGCCAATTTAATATAGTTTACTATTAATTAAAAAAGTCGGCGGTAGGTACTAGAGCTAGAGCTACGAGAGCTCTCGAATTTGAGCGTGAATTAAGATTCACGTGTACTTAAATTTTAAAACACGTGAATTTAATTCACGTATAATTAATTAGAAAATCACGGATATTTATTTAACATGTCTTTAAGACATAATGTTTGCCAACCTTATTATAATAAATATTAAAAAAAAAAAAATTCCGTAAAAAACTAAAACATCCACCAACTTATATTCTAAAAATATATGTTTCATAAACAGTATTATTGTAAAATGATAGGACGGGTGGATTAATCTATGTACTACGCTGTTAGTACACGACAGCGACGTGAACATTTCTACGAACAGTACCTACGAAATTCGTACTATTAGCTTACGGTTTAACAAATTAATTATTGCCTTTTTTTAAAACTGTTATTATTAAGCCTTGATGAGACAATCTCGGACTCTGTAAATGTGTAGTAGTATCGGAATTAAAATATACATTTTTATTCTAAGGCATAATAACATGTCTATGATTAAAAGTTGGTAATAGTGGAGATATTAATGAACAATCGAATGCCGACAATTTAGAATTATGTGAAACTCATACTAGTACTTTACTTCTAAATCATCTTTTACACTTCTACTCAAAGCGTATCGTGTACTTATGATTGTTGGTCATCATTGTCACAACAATCATATAACTGTAAGTGCACATATTATTGATATACAATGGTGCCCAATATCATTTACTCTAACTAATCATGAGGTACACGAGCGACATGCAGCAGAAAATCTTACCCAGCAATTAGAAAATACATTCAATGAGTGGGAAATAGTTAAGAAAGTAATAACAATGGTAACAGATAATGAGGATATAATAAGAATATTGTAAATGTTGTTACATCATTAAGATAAATACCTGAAGTTTGTAGTAGTACATTTTATTTCATTCATTACAATTTTTATCAATAATGCGTTAAAAACAGAGATAATAACTGAATTGATTCAAAAATGTTCTAAATTAGTTGAACATTTCAAACATTCAAATACAGCATTGAATGAATTATAGAAAAAACTAGAACAATTAAGTTTCATCAAAAGTTCATTGCTTCAATATTGAAAAAACACGATGGAATTTGATTTATACTATATTAGATCGTTTTTTTATAAATAGAAGTGTAATATTACTGTATTAACCAAAAGAAGTATAACTACGTCAGAAATGCATAAAAAATTATTGAAAATCAATGGTGTTTAATAGAATTTTTGATATTTTTACTAAAGCCTTACAACAGTTCTTTGTAAAGAAAATCATTCTTCGATGTCTATGGTGATACACCTTAGCTTTACAAAGTCATAGAAAATCATTTAAAGTTCCGAGATGACGACAATATTATAATTAAAAATTTAAAAAAACTGTAATATTTGAATTAACAAAGCGGTTTGATCTTCAATTTGAAATTACTCAAATAATTTCTGTTAGTCACATTTCAAGTTTTTTAGATCCTAGGTATAAAGATTTGGAGCATGAAGCGATTCATGCTAGAAAAGAAATTCGTTCTCATGTTAAAAATTTATTAAATGACATTGTTGTTCATTAGCAACAGCCACAAAAACATAAATCCATCGTTAATAGTGATCTCAAATTTTTATATTGTAATGAAAATCTTTCCGAGAATGACATAACAGAACAGTTTCAAGCCTACCTAACTTAGCCTTTAACGATTTGATTTTTATCCTTTCGAGTGGTGGAAAACACGGGAACATAAATATCCAGCTATAGCTAAGTTGGCATTAAAATATTTGACAGTACCTGCAACATCAGTGAATTCAGAAAGATGTTTTTCTATATCAGGTAATATAATTACATAAAAAAGAAGGGGTTTGTTGTCGGAAAATGTTGATATGTTGATTTTTCTTTATCAAAATAGAAAATTGTTAAAATAATAAAAATTATTACGTTTATTTTTTTTTATAAATTATTGTTGTTCAATTTCACACTTAACAATTTAATTTATAAATAATTTCACTAATTTTACTTATGTAATACTTATTAGGTATCATATACTTGTTATAATTTATAATACGTACACATGAATATCTGTTTATCTGTTAGAATTTATTAAATTACAACTTATATTATTTAATCCATTTTTCGTACCTAATATAATATTAATTTTCTCTATTGGATTATATGAGAAAATTGTCCATGTGCTAAAATTGGGCTTTTTGTCCAAAATTGATAAATAAATTAATGCAAAAACACGATTTTATTTTTATTTATAATAAATGTATTGAAAATAAAATGTCACATGTAATAATAAATACGTGATTTGATAACATAATTCAAGACTTGTATGAAGTCAAATTCACGGATTTGCGTGTAGATAAATTCACAAATTCACGTGGTTGCATAAGTAAATTTTAATTTTATGTGTAAACGTGAATTTAACTACACGTGAAATAGAGACCTCTACTAGATACTTTAATATACACGAGAATAATCTGAAAACAATATTATCTTTCAATGACAGTGTTCCATTTGGTTATTTGTTATTGTAGTCATAGCTCTATCAAAATATGATTAACAACAAATTAATTTCTTTGTACCATATATTTATGTTTTAAAAAGGTATTGCTTTCGATGGACCTGATGGTAAGGATATAATGATAGTGAAGAAAGAGGGAAAAGTTGTTGCCCTTGAAGATGAATTACTTTCTTGTAAGTTTATCATTTGATTTTGTTTATTTATATCAAATTTATCAATTTTTATTAATTAATAATTTATAGTGAAAGATCAGCTTGATTATGAAGAAATCCAAAACAGTCACGTTGGTATTGCACATACACGTTGGGCTACTCATGGTGTTCCCAGCAGTGTTAATTCACATCCTCAACGATCGGACAAAGAACAAGTATTTTGTGTGGTCCATAACGGAATAGTAACTAATTATAAAGAAGTAAAAGCATTTTTGGAACGCAAAGGATATTATTTTGAATCAGAAACTGACACTGAAGCTATTGTAAAACTTGTACATCATATTTACACACAACACCCAAATTTATTATTTAGAGAATTAGTCGAACAAGCCATTCAGCAATTAGTATGTCTATCACAATTAACTTAATTTGAGAGAATGCATATTATTAATAACAATAAATTCTTTTAGGAAGGGGCATTTGCATTGTGTTTCAAAAGCAAACTGTTTCCCGATGAATGCGTTGCAACTAGAAGAGGAAGTCCACTTCTTGTCGGTATTAAGTCCGACACTCGGTTGGCCACTGATCACATTCCAATCCTCTATAGCAAAGGTACTATTAAACGTTTCAACCATATTTTGTTTAAACGATTAGCATAAGTTTTTTAGTCAAATTGCCACATTGGTTGTATTTTTGTTTTTGTTCCGTTTGTGTGTGACCCGTGAAGATTCGATAGACGGAGAGTCTTTTTCATTAACAGGTACAAATCATTGAACAAATCCATTTATCTGTAATGATCAGAAGTTAATTAATGGGCTTAAGCATTCAAAACAACCTAGGCATGTCTAGCGTTGGTTTAACATGGTGGTGGCACTAATAATGATAATTCGTATAATCAATGATTTTAGTAAGAGAAAATTGCTGTGACAAGCAAATTATTCGCATTAGAAAAAGTCTAAGAATGTTGTATATACAGGTATATAATCCTAAATACATAATAATCTATAATTATAGGTGCAATCTAATATAACATATGTTCACATATTTTTGCAAAATTTATGAATTTTCTTATGAGTAATTTTATGGAACTAATAAAAAATTTGAGTTTTAAGAGAAAGTTAGTAATTTCCATAATATATTCGACTGTTAAATTTAATTTTTGTATACTTGGTTAAATACTCATTATATTAATTGAAGCTATTTATTTGGTATTCATAATCTATGCCTGGAAGAGGGCTAGAGCTCTGAGTGTTTTACATTTTTTCAGACTAGACAAAATTAATATAACTAAATTGTAATGAAAATCAGATTAATTATTTTTGAAATTATTTTTATCGAAATATTATCGAATTAAAACAAACTAAATTATTTGAAGATTTAATTGTCATTTTAGAGGATTTATTGATCAAATCAATTTATTTAAGATTACCATAATTTGACAATACATATTTAGAAGGCCAGTGGCTATTTTTTTTTGATTTTTCGTAGTGCACATATTTAAATTTGAGCTTAGTTACTATCAATTATGAGCTAAATGGTGAATTTTTTTTATTATTACATTAAAATCACTTTATAATCGTCATTTATTTTAAGCGGTCTATCTTAAAATGTTGGTAAAATTTTTTTATATACTTACTATATTTACAGGTTTACTTATATATATTTATATACTTGTGTTTGTTATAAAATAAAAAAAAAAAAAGCAACAAAATATTAAAAACTTATTTTTGACTGGTGTTTTATTGTATAATAGTGACGTGATAGTACTATAAAGGTGTTGCACATTTTTATTTTTCATAGTGAACATTTGTAATTTCACAGTGCATAAAGTGTGTTGTAGAGCACAAAAAAATAGCCACTGGAGAAGGCATTGGTGGTAATATCAGTGCCGTGAAAACACCGGGTGTGCATTGTGTGAATTGCACGCAGGCCCTAGGCCTCGTATCATATTATGGGGCCTCAAAAAGTCAAATGCTCAAAAATGTACAACGATAAGGGGCCTCATGATATTGATCTGAAATCTATATTTTAACTATTCTGGTTCATCGATTATAATAAATTTAATACAATCAATTTTCATTGGTAAAACAATATTGTTAGTGTTTTAAGGTAACGTCATATTAATTTGTTTTAATATTATCAATAGTTTTGAATTTTTTGTATAATTAATTAAAATCATTAATTTTGTTTTAGGAGTTCTGAGATAATAGTTATAAATTAATTTTTCAATATATTATTAAATTAGTGGATGATTTTTATTAAATTAATATTTATTTAATTTTATAATTACTTCTTAATATTGAAAACATTAATTTTTATGTTTTATATTATAAGTTTCCAATTGCAAAATTATGGTAGTTATTATAAAAACTAAATAAATACTAATATATATTCATATTTGACAGCTACTGACTGTTTAAAAATAATAATTAATATATAATGTGACGTAGTTTTAATATTTGATTCATTAACAATATTGAAAATGTTTTAAAATTTATTAATTGTATATATATAATGTAAATAAATGTAATCTATAAAAGAAATTCATATTTTTTAAAAATCTAATATGCTGTAAGGAATAGGGTGCATGTAAACTATAATTTTTTTTAGAAATAAATCAATTTAACATTTGAAAATGTGAAATTGTTTAGAACATCGTTACATTCGTGGCGACAAAATGTCTATTCCTATTCCATTGCCTCGTCAAGAGAGTACATCTGAATTCCATCCACTAGGAGACAAAGAAGAAGTTGAGTATTTCTTTGCATCAGATGCTAGTGCTATTATAGAACACACAAATCAAGTTATTTACTTGGAGGTTGGTATTAATATTTTGCATATAAAATAGAAACTTTTTTTAATAATAAAATTGATATTAGGATGATGATGTTGCTGCTGTTAGAGATGGACGGCTAACTATTCATAGAATGCGCATGTCTACGGATGATCCTCATGCCAGAGAGATCACTACTCTTAAAATGGAAATTCAACAAATTATGAAAGGCAATTTTAGTTCATTCATGCAGAAAGAAATATTTGAACAGCCAGAGTCTGTAGTGACAACAATGAGAGGCAGAGTTAATTTTGAAAATCAGACTGTAGTTCTTGGTGGTATCAAAGTAAACAAATGAATACTATTTTAATACAATATTTAATGTAATTTCTCTTCTCTTATACGCATAAATAATGATCATTTTTAAAATATATTATGATGTAAACATAGTTTTATAAGCAGTTATTTTCTACTTTTAGGATTACATTCCAGAAATAAAACGATGCCGTCGATTAATGATGATAGGTTGTGGTACAAGTTTTCATAGCGCTTTAGCGACACGTCAACTGTTAGAAGAACTTACTGAACTACCTGTTATGGTTGAATTGGCTTCTGATTTTTTGGACCGTTACACACCAGTGTTCAGAGATGATGTTTGTTTCTTTTTGTCACAATCTGGTATGTTTTTTTTAAATTTATCTTACTATATAAGTATATTATGTTTCTAAGTTATTGATGTAAAATATAAATTTGATTTTAGGAGAGACTGCTGATTCTCTTTTGGCTTTGAGATATTGTAAACAACGAGGAGCTTTAATTGTAGGTGTCACAAACACAGTAGGAAGTTCCATCAGTCGTGAATCTCATTGTGGTATCCATATTAATGCTGGACCAGAAATTGGTGTTGCTTCCACAAAAGCTTACACCTCACAATTTATTTCACTTGTGATGTTTGGATTAGTTATGTCTGAAGATAGAATATCCATGCAACCTAGAAGAAATGAGGTAATATTAAATGTTAATTAAATATTGTTAAATTTTATCATAAAGAATTATCTGTACCTATTTAAATTGTTTTATTTGCAGATCATCAGAGGTTTAGAGAATATAGCCGATCAAATTCGTGAAGTATTGGCAGCTGATAAAAAAGTGATGAAATTAGCTGAATGTTTATATCAAAAAAAATCATTATTAGTCATGGGAAGGGGTTATAACTATGCTACATGTTTGGAAGGAGCATTGGTTAGTTTTTAAGGTCATAATTATGGTGATTCATTCTTATATTTGCATGTTTTTTTACTTTCCAGAAAATTAAAGAACTTACATATCTCCACAGTGAAGGCATTTTAGCCGGTGAATTAAAACATGGACCACTAGCTCTAATTGACAGACAGATGCCAATTATCATGATACTCACTAGAGATCCAGTGTATAAAGTAAGTAGTTACATCTTGCATATTTGCTCTAATATTTTTTCTCTTGATATTAATTCCTAGCTATTTTAGGTTTCTTTTGCCTTATATTACTTAAAATATTATTTATTTTACTTAATTTATTTCTGTTGTAGAAATGTACTAATGCATTGCAACAAGTCACTGCCCGTGAAGGACGCCCAATTGTTATTTGTGAAAAAGATGATGTTGATACTAAACACTTAGCTTGGCAAACCATTGATGTTCCACACACTGTTGATTGCTTACAGGTGACTTAGTTTAACTGTTTAATGCTTCCTAGTTATTATTTTTGATTGTCCCTAAAAGATATTTTAAAAACAATTATTACTTGTAGTTGCAAACACGTTGCAAGACTATATTGTACAACAACTATTAGGATCAAATATTTGTTTTTTGACAAATTTTTAAAATGTGTGTTAAAGTAATTGAGGTATTTGTTATTATATGATGCATTTATAATTTAAAAAATTGGCTTTAATATCTTGATATCCATGTATTATTTTTTCTTGCTACGTGTTTGTTAATTACAAATTCCATCAATGCAAATGTATATTATGGTAAATTAGTAGATTAAAAACCTATTAACTGTGTACTTATTATTATTAGCATATGGCTTCGGCATATAACTATGCAATTGTGTTTAACTGTTCAATTCATAAAATCTTCAAAACAATTATTGTTTGGCACTTATTTTGCTTATGAGATTTCTGAAATAGTAATATGCTTTAAGGGATTGCTGACTGTGATACCGATGCAACTATTGTCTTATCATATCGCAGTAATGCGTGGCTGCAATGTTGATTGTCCCAGGAATTTGGCCAAATCAGTGACCGTCGAGTAAAATTAATTTGTATCAATTACGTTTTCATACTGACCATTATAGAATTTATTACAACAATAAATTGTATCCTAAATTAAAATTAATGAATATGTGGTAATTGAAATTGATTTAAAAAAAAAAAAAAATGTTTTTTATACATCTACAAATTTAAAAAAAAATGTTATGTTCTCAACGCGAAATTGGCCATAGTGAAAATAATTATATATATACTCATTTTTAGTTTTAATTTGTTTTAATATTAATATTTTTTTATTTGGACATATATCCCAATTATTATTATTATTTTTTTATTCAAGATATTAGTATTTGATCTTTGTAATAATGTTAAAATTATTGTGCAGTTTATAATTTTTTAATATTCACATATATTTTAGATAAATAAATTCATTTTATTATTGATTTTATATTAATTTATTTCTCTAAATAATTTTAAATAATATATTATTGTAATTAGTTTTGTCTCTAATTATTTTGAACTAACATTCGTCCATAAGTTTTTTATATTTGATGTATCTTATAGTGTTAAATATTGACATTTTTAACATAAAATAACAGGAAATTTATAAATCTTAATGTATGAAAATTTTTTTTAAAGATTAACAGAAAAAGACTAACAGGTAAGAGACATTGGTTTTAATATCAGACTGTTATGAATATATCTATAAATGTTCAAAGTATGTTGGCTGAATGTTAACAAATAAAAAATTATAAGCCTGTTGCATGCGGTCAGTTCAACCGTTAAGATGAGGATGTGATAGGATAATTCCAATAAAAGTACTCAAACTAAGTTAAACTGTTTATTGAAATATTTCTAAGTATAAATTTACAATTAAACTGGCGTGAATGTGCTTGCTAAATTCGATTATAACACATCTGATTATTAGTTTATTCGCAACCCCCTTATATACTGAGGTTTTGTGGAGACCAATTGTGCCACACTATGTAAATGTTGTTCTTGATTATTATAAATATAAGATTTATTACTTTAGTGACCTCTTTAATATTATTATTCGCACATATCCCTTATTTTACTATTATTAAATGCATTCTTAATATTACTTTAAACTGTAGTTCTACAACTCATATTTGCGTATGTGTCTGTATTACCCTCAGGTCCTATTTTAATGATTCCTTTCTATATTGTCTCTACATTTACGTATGTCCGTAACAAGCCTAACACAAAGCTTCCCAACCATGATGCCATGAAATTGTTAGATAAATTTTCCAATAAATGAATTTTTAATTAATGTTGTTAAAATGCATGTTGATATTGGTGAAGAATCTCAAAAAATATTACTGCAGTTTTCAACATCATATTTATGTGAATAAGGATTTCCCTTATTAATATGAAAACGAATGAACTAATGAAAATAAAGACCATTGTAAAAGAAATTAGAGTATGGCTTTGAACACTTCGACCACAAATAAAAGATTTGTGATAAAAAAAAACCCAAGTAACATATTAGTTCCATAAATTATCTATTGGTTAATTAACCATGCAAGTAATAATATATATTAATAAATAAATATAAAAAAAAAGATAATTTATGGTCAATGTCATAGTTTAAATATATGTTTACTCGTATATACTAATTTTGGTTCTATTTAGGTCAGCCACTTACCTAAAAAACTCTAATGTTACAAATTATAAATATAAATACATTATAAATTACCAGTGCTCGAATTGGGTTGGGACGCGGGTGGACAGAGTCCACTTTCATTTTTCCATAGATTTCAGCGTCCTCCTTTCATTTAATTAAACGAGGAATGCTAAAAACAAGTCCCCCCTGAGGAGGTTTACTTTTGAACGGTGTATTTGGATTTTGTTTTCGTTTATTTCTATTTTCTATAGCAAACTGCAAAGTAATGGTTATTTTTTTTTCTGAAAACGGTTATTGTTGACGACAATCACGGACTAAGGTAATAATCATGGCTAAATAACTTTAATTTTGAAGTGATTTCGATTGTATAGTCGTATAGTTGTTTCTACTTTCTACTTTTGACCACCTTTTGAGAACTTTTTGTTTAATTTTCCACCAATTGACAAAATTAACACAACAAAATGGATTGAATCGTGGGTTAAGAAAGGCAAACGAATAGGAGATGAAGAAAATTGTCCTAAAAGGATAAAAATTACTGAAGAAAATGCATACAAGTCATTGTGGAATTTAATTAAAGAATAATATTTATTTCTGTAATTAATATTATTATTTCGTTATAAAATAATGTTATAGTTATAAGCAAATAAATATTATATAATAATACTACCTTTATAGTGCCATATTATATGTGCAGGGGGCGCGGGGGACGAAGTCCACAACGGGTTACTTTACAATTTATCAGCTATGGAATGGTGTTTTGTAACTAAAACCAGCGTCCGTCCTCAATTTTTTCCCAATTCGAACACTGTAAATTACTCTAGTGTATTGGGTACCTCCAGATTTTTAGAAAATACCTTAGGTCTTAAATTTAGTTTAATCTAAGGATTAGAGTGCCGTGAGTCAAAAAATATTGGGAATATCCAGCTTAACATGGTATAATTAAAGGATAAAACAGCTCTTCGATATGATTTTGATTAACGATATTACTTTTATCCCCAGGACATGTACAAATTAATTGTTGTTAATTATATCACAATTTTTATATAATATAAAATATATTGTTGATGAATGATGAAGTGACCAGTGGTCTTTTAGACGAATTTCAATTGTTTAATTCTGGCCCGTATTGAGGTCTGGTAGCGCCCCTGGCCAATCACTGTATTTGCGATCCCCCAATGAGAAATTTGCATTTTTTTTACAAAAAAATCATTTGAGACATATAAAGCATGTATAAAAACATAGTAGGTTACTAGGTAATAATTACTTATAAACTTTAATAACTATTAGTATTAATTTAAAATATAAACATTATAAAATCATGTATTCAAATTTTTTTGTTTTACAATTGTGTTGGATGATTTTAAATTTATTTAATACAATATTACAATGATACTTTTCTTGCTTTTATAGAGGCAAATTTATCAATGACATCAAATGAAATTGTTTTAACTACATATTTTTCATATTTCGTGAAAAATATTACATAAGTAGTGTTAAAATTTGCGCCCCTAAAACATGGCCTCTTGCCCTGCGTCGAATATGGCCCTGGTTCAATCCTATTTTTGTATCGCAGTAAAAATGCAGTCTAGTGGTTGGTTACTGACATAAAATATAAACACCTAATCTCCTAATAATTTAAATCACCAAAATGATGGACACTTGACTGTTGAATTTTTCGAGAGATTAAAAAAAATGAATCTTAATACTTCACTCGACTTTAATGAAGATGTAATAGAAATAATCGTTGTAAATTTGAAACGATTCTTCAACTCTATGTTCGATACGTTTCTGGTTGTTCAAAATTCTTGCAAGTCTTTTAAATACGAGGACGAAATGTGAATCACTAAATTATAATAAAATTATACTGCTGGGAAATGTAAGTCAATCGAAAATATAATAAAATATATTTTCTTAGGTTTTGCCGACTTTTGAATTTCAAAATATTTATTGTCGCAACATTATTCGTCTCTACCGGAAACGTAGTCCATGAATTATTACTTAAAATGTTCAGGTCACGTATTCAATTTTTTTTTTCCATACCAACATGCAACGTTATAAATTTAAGAAATGAAGGCCTAAACTTTAGTGCATCGATACACTATGCATTGATCGTTTGATTAATTAGAAATAATGTTCGAAATGCGGCTCGTGTGTATATAGGAGGAGGTGCACATATACGTTTTAGTGAATTAATATCGACGCGGAGACCGGTGCAATACAATATTTAACAGTGATTGTAATTTTTTTTAATTTATGTGCTCAAAAGCACATTTAATTAATTAGTTAATTCGATTATTATTACTTAAAACGTTTAAGCACCGCCCCTATTATTGTGCAGGTGTATACCGACTTTCGGCAATATACGGACAATGGGTGAGGCTGTCAACTTAAAAATCAATCAGTCTTGAAAATAAATGTAAGAAAAAATGATATTGATCAGGGGAAAGAAAAAAAATCGAAGAACCCATTTTGAATTATTTAATGAGCACAGCAGACCCGACCGTCCCTTCTGGGCCAAGGACGGTCTGTCACCGTATTTTAGTTCTGTGCCAGTTTCTGTTGCGCCGGATGAGCCACACCATAATATTACACTCGCGTATAATGTTTACACATTGCGATACACATATTGTAAACATACGCGTGTTAATAATGCGTAAGATTATTATTAATGTTATTTACGAGCGCGCACGTGCACACTCATGAATAAACGTGTACGAAAACCGAACCGATAAATGTTAATTTTCAAATTATTATTATTATTATTATTACTATTATCATCGTTTCGACGGGGAAATCGCGTCAACGACGAATATTTGTAATAATTTTCATATACATCGCAAGCAACCGATAATGTTCTCATTCGAATGGTTTGACCATTGTTTTGTTTTGTTTTTTTTTATCGTTTTCTAATATCGACTTCCGTTTTAGACTTTGTGCACGTTGATTACCAGCCCCCTACATGAACCATTTTGAGTCTGGCCATCCACATAAAATAATTAAAAACCCATTCGCCCAAATGTCCGTCCGGTTAAATGTCCTTTCGCCGAATAGGGTGTTAATAACCAGTCTTAATAGTCATTATTAAAGAATTTTAATTTCTGATTCTGTAAAAAATAAAAATGTATACATTTCAATTTTTTGTTAATATTTATAACCCTTTCCCGTCATCAACGCCTAAATCATAAAAATGTCTATATTCAGACACTCGTCGACGTAGTATACTATCGACAAAATGGTTGGGTGAACATCACTGGTTATAGGGTCCCGGACTTACCTTATCATCTGGGCCCCGATATCCTAGTTGCGTTACTTGTAGTGAGCTCATTCAACCCGTCCGTATCGCACAGCTAACAATCGTGTCGGTGGTGTAACTATGTGAACGATAAATGATAAATTAAA